CCCGGACAGCCGCCACACGCTCCGCGGGCCGTGCCGGAGGTGCAAAGGTGCCTGAAGATGCGCTGTCCGCTCCGCCGTCAAACGAGAGAAGGTCACTCGGTATCTGGTACCTTCCGGCATGGCTTGAGGCTCCACCGAAGCTCCCTTTCTACAACTCTCCGACGCTCTCTTCAGGGATCGAAAATGATCGAAAGCAATCAAGCACGTGAAAGGCACTTCAGAAAGAGTTCCAAGAGGTCTTGCGTCAGCTTGATCTCCTGCTGCACCCCAGAAAGTCTCCAGCACACTTTTTGATCAGAAACCGCATGTTCTCAGCGCCCGCCTTCGTGAGGCTGTCCTCTGCCAAATTTAGAAGCTTTTCGAGCTGCGGCTTGATCTGGACAACGGCAACCCCGAAGAGGGTGCTTTCAAGCTGCATCGCCTCAGACAGGCAAGCCCTGAACACGAAATGCCCAGCACGCATCCAAACCTTAGTTGACCCGTGAACCCTGCAAGATTAACCTGCAATGCTAGTTGCACGGAAGGCTTTCGCAAACGCCTGCTGCGATGGTGAGAGGGAAGCGATCGCATCCTTGAACTCCTTTGGTGTTGGAATGACGGACAGCTCCAGTGGTATGGTGAGTTCATCTTTGTTCTGCACAATGGCCGCATAGGTTGGATCGAAAGTAGTGGCGGAGGTAACTCTGCCAACCAACACCACCATGGAGCTGAATTGCCTTGCCCTGGAAGTGAGGAAGAGGTTGCTTCCACTTTGTCCGGAAAAGCTGTGGGAAAGCCATCCATGCAGGTGCACTGGCCCCGAAAAAGTCACCGTCGTAGAGGCGCTTAAGTCAAAAGACATGGACACAGGCCGGCTGCTGCACTGTGAGATCGCGACCTCGGCGCATGACTGAAACCGTTAGGCCCCAGCACCCACCTCACTTCATCCCAAGGTCATATAGCTGCAATCCAAAAGGCAATGGGTGACCGTATGCTGCCTCCGTCTACGAGGCCGATGGCTTCCTCGTCTATGCTGACAGTTCCTTCCGGGGAATGCTTCTCGGAGCGCCTCACCGAGAAGCAAAACCTGGGGTCAAGTCATCATCAAGCACGCTGCCTCCATCGCCTGCAGCAAACCCAAGCAACTGCCCAAAGCAGCCTATTCATCCTTCCAAGCTGCTGCTTGGGCTGGTACTGCTCAAGGAACAATTTCCTTCAGCAAGCTGCAGCAAACTTGCAACGGATTACTCCCACGCTGCTTCGGGGCTTGCAGTGCAAGTCAAGCATCCGGTAATGAAACTGCATGTAGGCAGCAAAATCAGCTGCACCAATCTCTTTACCAATCGCTGCCACAAGCTGCTGTCGGAGCATACCTGGCAACAGACACGCAGAGCACAACAATGTGCTCCAGATGAAGTGGCAAGCCTTCCACGTAGTCCAGAGATCTCTTCCACATGTCGCACACATTGCGGCAGTGAAGCAGGGTGACGACGGCGTGAATTTCAACTGCTCGTATGAGTCCTTAAGCTTCTCAGCTTCGAATCTCGAGTCGTGGGGCTGCGATTGCACATGCTGCGATGGCTTCAAGTGCTTGACGGCACGGGGGTTTTGCACTCCCTTCAACTATCTGCCACCAAAGCTTCCATCATCTCCTGGGAAAGCAAGGCTGGCATTGTTCCGATGCTCCTCGAACAGTCGCGTACATGGATCTCACGCGGCCATGTCTGCGAAGCCGTGTCGATTGTACTGCAAAGCAACTTAAGCTGGGAATGGCTTCGAAGGATGTAAAGCAGCTCCTTGAGACATCTGAGCTCCTCTGCCAGGAAGCGGTTCCCATCTCCAACGGACAGGACCGGACCTTTCATTGTGCTGCAGCCGTCACACAGGCACAGGGATGCAGCCAGGCTGCCTTGTGCTGGCTGGCTCGGGCTCGACCGTAGCACGGCGAAAAGCCCTTGCAATCCAGGGACTTTTCCACAAGAGCACTGCTTGCTTTCAATCTTGACTCTTGACCTTTGGGCCTGAAGGAGGTTCTTCTGGCTCTGCACTTTCGACGTTGCTGTCCTGATGCTTAACAAGAGGACGAGAAGTACAACCGACGAGGCTGGGGGGATGAAAGTGAAGAAACCCTTCACGTCAAAGTACCATCTTGGCCGAGAATCGAACATCAGCGGAAGCACTGGCACAAAGACAGACTCGGCCGAGAATGCGCTTTCATCAGGTTTTCGCGGCTGTACCGTTCGGAGGTGATGAAAGTACTCGGTGACATACTGCGTCCAATATGCGAAGGAATTGAAGTGCTCCGTGGCCCGGTCCGTCTCCGGGTTTCGCCGAGGAGTTTTGCAGCCCGGGACAGTCCGGTTGATTTGGAACTGAGGGGCGACCTCGTCTTCATTCAAGGTGTTGATCAGCCAGGTGATGTTGACCTCGCCAGGGGTTCGCGCGACTCCAGCCAGGCAGAGCCGAATTGCGGCTGAGGCTTTGTGCCGCTTCGCAACGTTTCCTACATCATGTTATTAGGCGGTCCCCTGGCAACTCTTTTGCAGGACCTGCCTCCTGGTTGATGGCGGGAACCCTGGCTTCGGGGTATGGCGCAGGAGCCTTCGTGGTGGTCTTCAACTCCACGGCTCCGGTGTGGCTTAAAAGGACCAGCCGATCGGCAGAGTCTGAGCCCACTCCACACAAAGCCTCCAGCACATAGTTGGCCTCAAACTTCCAGAAATACTCGGTGATCTTCGTCACGACCTACAGAATCTTGAAGAAGCTGATGCCCGTGAGCAATTTCGACTGCTACTACTGGTAGCTGGCTACATGCGACACGAGACGGGCATCCCATGTGGAAGCACAGATATCTGAAGATGCGCAGTGAAACGTGATCTCTGTGAGCCGTGCCGAATCAACAAGGTCAGCCTTGCTGGTCACAGTACTCCGTAGCACGCCACCAATGCTCGTCTCCTCCACGTGCTTCCTGTCAGCTGCCAACACGTGGCACGTCTTCACACCCAACACGTGGAACCTCTTCAGTGCCCAACACCTTCCCACCGTCTTATTTTTCAGAATTTCAACTCTCCGGCGATGGATGTGTCGTCAGAGCTGGACCCGACGTCATTGGCTTGGACTTCGCAACCGACCGAACGAAAGGAGGCCGGAGGCCGTCTGACTGAAACAACACGCCTCGGATCTTCCTCCTCTCGGGTCTCCTCCCTGGCGAAGCTACAAGCTTCCTGAGACGGCCAAAGAGCTCATCAAGCTTCAGTCGCAAGTAGCTGCAAGCGGCTACTGCCTCTAGTCTAGTAAATCGACCAGAAGGCACCCGGCCCCGAGATTCACCGCTCCCAGGCCTTGGACTTGAAGCGCAGCGACACGGAGGATCCTGGCCACAGCTAAGGCGGCTAAGCGCAACTTCAAGCTTCAGAAACCGATCCTCACCTGCAGCACCCCAGCGGCGCATCGTCTGAAGATGCTCGTTCGTCAGCCCCAGAGCGCCAAGACAGCTCCTGGGCAGTTTCTATTCCATCGTTTCGTCATGTCCGCTTGTTGCTGCCTGCAGCCGTGGCCGATAGCACACTCACGAGCACAACACAGTATGGCCTAGCTGTCCTTCATGCCAACAACATATGAGCTGTTAGCTGAATGTCTTCAACAAACCTGGTACAAAGTCTGCGGGGGCATCAATGGCTCGGACTGCAGAAACCCTTGTCTGAAGAACGTAAGCCTCAAACGTTGTTCTAAGCTGAGGGCGGCAAGCCAAAGATCCAAACTCGAAGTGGCAAGGCACAGCTGTGATGCTGCCGCCAAGCATGTGGCGCGTTCCACGAGAATGTATTTATCGTCGTACTGGTGGTGGACGTGTCCTTGCCGAAACCCGCGACTGCCCGGAGACTTCAAAGACGACACGGCAGAAACGCGCCTGCGAGCTGCGGCACTCTTTCCGCATGGAGCAGCTGTTTCACGGTCTCCAGTGCCTTCCCGAGCTTGGCCTGACAGATTTGGGGGTTACGGTTCGTGCCGGTGCACACGATTCCACTCCACGGTCAAACGCACCGGTTCACTGTTCCAGTGGAGGGGGAGCACTCATTGACGTCGAAGTCCAACAGGGTACTTCAAACCAAGCGGAACCTCAACATGTTTCAACTGGAGAGGGATGGCCATGAGTCTGGCGGTCTTTCGGGCGACTAGACCCGCTGGCTGTAAGGTTGGCAGATAGTGCGAATGCATCTGCGAACTGCAAGGCTAGACGAGGTCCTTGACAATTCCATGGCAATTGCCTAGCATAGAACACTGTAGCTGTTTCTGACTGGGTATTGGAGCAGGCCGCATCTTTGAGTCGCTGATGGCCGCGGTGAGGCAAGTGTGTACGTTCAGCTTTGCCACAGCCCCCACCCTGCACGCGACCACCGTTTTTTACAGCACAGTGTGTCTTCCCGGTACAGATGCTTTTTGTCAACCACTGAAGGTGGCACTCCCCTGCAGCGCAGTGTCCACAAATGTTGGCTGTCGTTCAGCAATGGTCCGTGCAGAACGCTCTTTTCCACAGGGGCTTTCTGCCCTGACCTGGCAATGCTCGCTGATGAGAGCGTGTGTGTGTGTGTGCGTGTGCTAACTATATATGTGCAGTCTTTCCTGCCTTCTTTACAGCCACTTCACAATGCTGCGATTGTGACACATACTCCAGCGATACGGAACCCGAAGAAGTGATGACCAACGCTGCAACTGCACTCTGCCAGACTTAGCTGCTCGACCAATCCTGTCCGAAATTGAAAACGAGGAGGAATGACTGTTCAGTGTGGTGGCGCCGCGATGTTTGTCCGGCCAGCATTTACGTCGTAATTACATCCTCAAGCTCTGCTCGATTCGTCGCATTGTACTCCTCCGTCGAGCGGCCACGTGTCACGAAGACACAGCGACCCACAGTCGAAACTTCGCGGACGCGCCGAGCTCTGCGTGGAACCAGAGTGGGGTCGCCGACATTGGGCCATCAAGCTGCGTATGACCTCTGATCACTCTGATCGTTCTTCCTGCTACCTCGGAAGCCGCAGATTGCTTGCTCTTGCACAAAACAGAAAAGGCACTTCCCATGCCATGCAGAGTGAGCTGCGACTGCTGCCGTGTACGCCTTTCGCCCTGTGCAAAGGCCCACACTGCTGCGTTGTAGGGTAAGTCCTGGTAGTTGCAAGACAGCTCGTGACGTGCTGAAAGGCCTTGGGGCCTCGGTCGCTCCTCCTCTTGCATAGCCTCGCTGTTTGCACAGAGCTGCGCAGCTTGCCTCCACTTTGCGGCATTCCCCAAAGCGCTCAGCGCAGCACCTCCCGGCAAAAAGCCCACACACCCACACGCAGTCTGCGTCTCTGTCTCTGACTTTCTCTCTGCTTCTCTCTCCCCCTCCCTCTCCTCGAGTTTCGGGTCAAGCTGAGCTAATGTTGATTCATTACCTTTTGCGCTCGCATGTGCTCGGCAGCACTGCTTGGTGTTGTTGCGATCACCATCTGAACATACGAACATAAGCGAGGTGATGATGCATCACATGGTAAGCTTGTAGCTCCTGCCAACTTCCTAGTTCTCTTGGTCTACGCCAACCTGGGCTTAAGTGCAAAAACGATCCGATGAAGGAACGCAGGGCATATCAAGTCAGCAAAATCTTCTGTCTTGGACGAGGCGCTGCAAGCCACTACGTCAGTCTGCACCTGCACGAGGCTTTCATGGATAGTCTACAGCTGCCGCCGTGAAAAAACCTCGTTCGAGATTCGTCGGCTCTCCCGTGCCTGTGCTGCTCGCATCTCTTGACATGTACCGGTGGCAACTTGCCACAGATCTGGTGTCCTGTTGGCACGAGAGACACGAAGACAAGCTTCCTATAACTATGGACTCTGGGAACACTTCACGAGCAGAATTGCGGTCGTCCTGCACGCCGCCACCACAGAACCAAAGCTGAAGACGTCAGCCTGTGATAAGACAGGCTGGCCCTACGGCATACAGCCTACCTGGACACTTTTTGCTGACTTGCTGGCGTTCTAAGAAGGCAAAAACGGGGAAGACGGTGACTGACCGTGCAAGGAAAGCATGGCGGCAAGTGCAGGAACCGCGACCGCAGAGTCTTGGTAAAACGCGTGACTTCGCGCAGCAGACCGGCACTCTTGAACAAACCTCACCTCGTCCCGAGACCAATATGCTCAACCGAGCCGCCTCAACCCCGAGGTCAGAAGCTTTCAAAAGAAGCAAAGCGATTGCCCACTGTGAGCCTGCAGCCGCAAGCACCGACAAAGGATGGCAACAATCTATTCATACGAAATTCTGTCCCACCTTTCTCAGACGCGCTGATTGCACTGTTGCGGCCAAAGAGATCAAGTAGCCTTCCGAGGAGAGCTACTACCAGCCATCTCGCTTTGCCACTCGCTTCGAGAAGCATGCCAGACTGCGTCCGGAAAACACTCTGAGCTCGGGCATCTTTTGCAGAAGCAGTAGTGCAACAGGCCACTGTCCATCTCAGCTGTCATCGGGGGCTCGAGGGAACATAACATCCAAGCATGGACGCGACCCATCACCAGTCACTGGTTTGTAACAGCAAAGGCGACCCCCAATGCCCTGAAAGGCTGGGAACTGTACGAAATGTACCAAGCGAAACCATGAAATGAACATGCCACATGGACATGCCCCAAGGTCCTCGTACTCCAGGCTCTTAGTGGGCCTACAGGACCTGCCTGGTACGTCAAACTTAGAGTGTGCATACCACACTGCACGGCGCACAGACGAGTGAAGCCCAACAGAGCATCGGCGAGCAACACGAAGACAGATGCACAAGGGCAGCGGGCGTCCACAGTGCCGAGACACCATTCTCGCAAGCTGAGACGACCGAGTTCCAGGTGATACTCGAGATTGCGCTTGCTCGACGCCTTCCAAGCGCCATGGATTCGAGCGATCACATAGACAGGCAGTCAAATAAATCACGGAGGGAACGATCGCTTTGGGATCTCTTTGGCCTCATCGTTCGCACCTGCTGCATGGCCAGCAGCCACTGGGCTGCGCGCGCAATGCTTCGCAAGGCCGCATTGAAGCTCACCAAGCCTGGCGCCAGAAGCCGTCGCTTGAGATTGCCAGGAGGTGCAAGCGCCGCCTTCACAGCCACCTAAAACCCGAAGGATCGCCAAAGCATATTCCCATGCATGCAGCATGGCGGAGATGACCTGAGGGGTCCGGGTGGCATGCTGACACTTTGCGAGCTGTCTGACACGGTCTCTGTACTGTTCACAACATGTGGCGGAGTTGTGCGAGATGGTGTCAGGGACGATCTGCCGGCGCGACATCTGGGACAGCATCCCCGCGACAGTTTGCCACATTTCAATCCTTCGCAAAGCGCTCATCCTTGGGAAGCTTGAACTCATGCAAGGCCGATATGCCACAAATCTACAACGCGAAGAGAGAGAGAGAGAGAGAGAGAGAGAGTGTGTGAGTGTGAGAGTGTGAGAGTGTGAGAGTGTGAGAGTGTGAGAGTGTGAGAGTGTGAGAGTGTGAGAGTCTGAGAGTGTGAGAGTGTGAGAGTGTGAGAGTGTGAGAGTGTGAGAGTGTGAGAGTGTGAGAGCGTGAGAGCGTGAGAGCGTGAGAGCGTGAGAGCGTGAGAGCGTGAGAGCGTGAGAGCGTGAGAGCGTGAGAGTGAGAGAGTGAGAGAGTGAGAGAGTGAGAGAGTGAGAGAGTGAGACTGTGTGAGAGTGAGAGAGTGAGAGAGTGAGAGAGTGAGAGAGTGAGAGAGTGAGAGAGAGTGTGTGTGTGTGTGTGTGAGTGTGTGAGTGTGTGAGTGTGTGAGTGTGAGGGAGAACACTTGAAAATCTGGCCTACTCTCGCCTGCCAGGAGCATACGCTGCGCTGCTGCGGTGAATGGAAGTGTTGTGGTTTCTCTGCCTCTGGATTCGCTTCAGTTCACCTGAAACTTCGTTTGTTGTCAAGTTCTGGGGCCATCAAAACAGGCTTCGACACGCACACTCGCACGATGTGGGCACGGCTTGAGTGCCTGCTGCTTGGCTGAGAACACGAAGGGGGGTCCCGTAAAGCTTGTCATCACAACATGTCGCAACTGAAGTATGGATAGTAAAACTGTCCCAGGGTCGCAGCATTGAGGCTGACTCGTGCCACCTGGGCTTGAGAGCAGCTCAGCTTGGCAGCACACTTCCAGCCCGACTGCAACATGGAGGCTGCGTGCACTCGCGCATGCCGCCTGCACAACCTCGAAGCACACCTGGAAGCACCCTTCCCTAGTCGGTACCTCGCGCCGACGCTCCGGGACTGCCGCCACGAACAATGCCAAGCGCCAGGCAGTTCCTGACTGTGCAGCAAGTGCGTTGCTTCACTCCGAAAATGGCCAAAGCCCCAAATCAAGCCAACAGCCTCCCCAAAACTCGGGCATGCTAAACAGACGCGAGACCCCGCCTCGGGCACAGGAAGCGACCCTTGCCGGAGCTCCAGAGAGGGAAATGCGGAGGCTGTGTTCCCAAAAGGAGGCCTCTGCAGCTGCACAGTCATCGAAGGTCGCAAACCTATGCAGTCTGCTTAGCGCCGAACGTGGCATTGTACACACACTTTTCAACTATTACACTGACGAAAGCAACCCCTCAATTTGCTCTTCGCTTCAAGACGAGATGCTAGCCCGCAAGCACTGCAGGCGGCAAGGCCTGTTGCAGCACCTTCGCGTACGGCGGCATTAGGTACGCGAACTCGTACGGCGGATTGGATGCTCCGAGGCACAGGGCCGACAGTGGCTTGCGAGCGATGAAAGCGAGAGAGAGAGAGCTGCAGCCCAGTGGGTACTGAGCTCGAAGGCCTTCCAAGAAGACTCTCCAGCTGAGACTTGCAGATCGCTGTGGCCGCTGTCTCTTTGCTCAGCCGTGCTCCTTCGTAGCTGTGGCGGAGGCGACTGCGTTGGTCTGCAAGTGCTGCCGCCGCAGCAGCGCGAAGCACTGCAAGCTCCAGCGCCAAGGATCCTCTGCAGGCTCGAGCGAAGGGCTGCTGTGCTACGACACCTTTGGTATGATCCTATAAACTTGATAGTCGCTTCCCACCAGGTTGTTCCCATCGCGTCGGTCCCGACATGCACTCATAGCCGCGCAACACAACACCTCAGCGATGGCAGAATTCCGCAGATCTCGGGGCAAAGCCGCAAACGTGTTGCCGAAGACCGCAGCCAGGAGGCCACATCAGCTCGGAGAGCAGTGGAAACACTCTTATGGTAAAGGGATAAGGCACGTGTCCAGGCATCAGTCACCTGGCACCCGGCACACATCTTGGATCATCTTTGTCTTCGTTTCATAACACACCGACTCTCCGATCCTCTGACTTGAAATTGCTCAGCGCTGCCGTGAGGGTGCCAACATCAGCCTCTGCAGCAAAACGTGCACCACGCCAGAGTCTTACACTACGCACAATCTCTCTGTCCATGCTGGTCGAAGAGTGTGGCCTGCACCCTTGAGGAGACCACGAACTCCAACAGGTTCATCGCGACCTCCCAACGTCGGCCCTCCTGCTCAACAGGTACGATTGCTACCGACGCGTGAGATAAGGTTGGAAATCCACAGCACCAAAGCCAACAGCGACGACAGCACAATGTCAAAACCGCACGCGCGGTATTCCACTGCTGAGCACCACCTGGCAGGCGGAGAGGCCGATCGTGCACCTTAGGCTCGGCTCAGATATCCAGCTCACTGTGCTAATGGGTATGACGGAACCGTGTCCGGCACACTGTGCATCCTGCAGCTATCAGTCGCAGGATTACAGGTTCGGTGCGTGACATGAATCCGAACGCATGTCTTTGCGACCTGTCAGCTGATACATTTTCAAGTTGCAACAAGCGGGAATGTGCTCATCCCTTGTTAAGTCATTCTGATGAGTTCTACCTCGGCGTGACAGGCCCACCTGTCCGCCCAGTAGATGTTGCTAAAGACACCCTGCTCTTCTGATGTGGGCCGTGCAGCAACATTCAATCGCCCGAATGATGTTTAAACTATCATGGACGCTGCCGCCATGCTTTCTGCCAGAATGAAATAGAGCAGCCACGAGCTTCTTCAACTTTCATTATCTACATCTAGTCGCCGTCTTTCGATTCATGGTACTCGGGATTTTCGACACTCCGCGTGACTCGCCCGTGGCAGCTTTTTGAAGGGGTCACTGGACAAGCCTACAGCGAATAATCGCACCCAAGCTAATGCTGATTTAGGATGTAGACGGCGGTAATGCAATCCGACATTAACAACATGAAGCAGCGAAATGTTGAACCCTGTCTTTAGTCAGGCCCAGCGATGGCCACAAGCAGCTCAAGCAAAGCTTTGCAAAGCTAGTCAGCTAGTCCAAGTTGCGCTATGTTGTTGAAGACGAGCTTACATGCCCCCATCTGGGTGAGTGTGCCCACGGATTGATGCCACAGGCTTGCCGAAGCTCGAGCACGCATTACCTGGGATACAGTCCGAAATAGTCCGAAGAAATGCAAAGCAAATCAACTGCGACGGCGGTCCATCTGCAGACAAAGCTCTGTGGTGTAAGAGACCACATCTGCAACCTGAGCGTTCCCGCACACATGGCGCAATGTCAGCTACTCTGTTTCTTGTCTGCCTGAGGGCATTGTCCTGTCTGTCTCCCCGGCTGATTTGAAATAGGCTACCAGCGGCAGCTCCGAAAAAGACTTCATGCTTAACAGACCCCAAGCTGCGATGCCGTCTTCCAGAAGCTGCACAGCGGATATCCAGCCCCTCCTGCCAGTATCATGAAAACACTTACACTCTACCGTCTACCAAGAAGTCCCAGCTCAAAGTCTTTACGGCAATTGACTTTACCTGGCATCAGTCACACGGACGACCACGCGTACTCAACCAGCCCGACGAAGCCAATACAAAGAGACCATTACCCCCAGACTTCGAAAGAAACAAAACGACATGCACACCAAAGATGAAAACGGAGAAGCAAGACACCTCCACAATCGCAGCGGAAGCACCGAAACCACAAGCACAAGCAGAAGAACAGAAGCGAGGGAGGCAACGCAATAGAATCGGCAGCTTGATTCATGCGACAGGACAGTAAGTTCAAGCATGACACCTGCGATACAGCAAGCTGCTCAGCGCGACATTCTTGGAATGGGAATCTGCACGAAGTGACGAAGAGCGAAGCCTTGCGGTGCGATATCAGTTCAACACTCCGCAGGCTGCAACGCATCTCAGGCAGTCTTGTGGACTTGCACTTGACAAGTTCAAGGCACTGTGCAAGAAGCTGCAGGGATGACCGCCACTGTCTGTTGCGCAGGCATGCACTGCCAGCGGCGGTGAGCGAGACCACCTTACACAGGCGCTGCACAGAACCTGTGCTACACGGTCATCGAGGTGGCAACTGAAAGGGTTTGTCCATTCTCTGAGGTGCGGGCATCGGCCTGGATGCGGTTCCGGACGCCGGCCCAAAGATGTGGCTTGGCCAGCAGCCACGTGTCCTCTCTGCCCTGGTGGGGAAGGCCGGTGCCGATGCGCCGTAGCTGTAGCTACAACATCTAATTTTGCTGCGCTGACCTACATGGAAACAGGAAATTAAAATGCTGGTTCACACAACAGGACTTCCGGGCTACCTGGGTTTAGGTGGAGATCGCAAGACTTGGAGCAATAAGGAATGCAAAGGCGTAGCTCAATCTATGAACTCTCGGACAAGGGCCTCTGCCAGACCAAGGTTGCCGCTTTCTGGTGACCTTGCGGCACTTCGTCGCAGGCGGCTCGCAGAATATGCGGTGGTCGTCGAGACGCCCATCGCTGCGCGACATGAGCTGTCGTTGCCCGCAGACCACAGCCCGCCTACCAGGCGAGGCTGCGCTGAGGGCGTTTAATGAAAATGAGGCTGAAACACCTGCAAGAAACACAGCACTGCACGTCTTTACAATTCCTCTCGTTTCCGCTATGCAGCTTACGCGAACCACACTTTTTCGAAACATCATGGCGGACACTCTTTGGCCAAATGTGCGGTGGCTGGCAGCCACACCTGCGCTGTCCAAGCGAGCAAGCACCGAAGCTGCATCAGAGTACCTGAATTCCATGAAAAGACTCTCTCTGGATACGCTGCAAAGTGCTTGCGTGCACTGCCCGCCTCCACCCGAGCTCACAAGCAGCAACAGCAGTGGCGTGGGTAACCACATCTCGCGGTCCACAGCAGGAGAGGAGGGACAAGGTCCGCTGCCAGCGATGCTGCCCAGCGCACGTGCTCAATACCTCTGCTCAGTTGTGTCCCTCTCTGCAGCTCGGCCCATGTCTTACATTTTCGAAAATGCGATACGCAGATCAGAGGCACTGCGTTGAAAGTGATGACGTTGGGCGCCTCGGTTCGCGCTTTAAACCGAAAAGCAGAGTCAGGGATGCTTCTGATGCCATGCCCATGCCATGCCAGGGCCAGGCCAAGGAGCCTCCCCATCCCGGTCGAGCCTCTGCATGAAGTGAAGTGCCCAAGCCCAGCGTCCGGCAGCGTGGGCTGCCCCAATCGCAACACCTCAGAGTCTGAGAGCCTCGCTCTTTGAAATGGCTGGCATGGCTCCGGCTCTCAGCACAGGCGAGGCTCTGTATGTAATGACGCTGGCCCGAAGCCGGCTGTCCCAAAGCTCGTGAAGCAAAAGCATGGCCCACTGCCACAGCTCCTGCTTCTGGCAGGCACTGATGGCCACGTTGTAGGAGACAGCATCAGGCGTCAGCCTCTGCAGCCCTGCAAATACTTGACCGGCGGCAAGAACGCAGACAACACGGTGATCCGGGGCAGCGACCCACTTTTGCGAAGAGGAGCGCCAGCTGCCAGCAGCTGCCCTTCTCTCCGGCGGCAGCTGCCTGCAAGGCTTGCAGGTGCAAACACACAGAGACAGAGCTTCAAGACTGTGACAAAAAACGGCTGGATAACATGGTTGGCTCCAAGCCTTAATGCATCCTGCCGCTTGACTTACGAAAGAAATGCCGCTGAAATGGTTCAAAAACAGAGTGCCGCAACCGCTGGTGCGAAAATGCAAGTCTTGCCAGCACAGGCAGGGGCTTAGCTCTTCGTTTGCACGGAAGGTGATGCGCGTTACTTGTAGCTTCGTTGGGCAAAAATGCCACAGCATGCTGTGTCCGCCTGTGCTTTCGCCACCGTTTTTCAGTTTGCGCAGCGCTCCATGTTGATGACTGCAGTTGGATGTGAGAGAACGGAGAGCGGAAAAATCAGCTGATCCACATGCCGCAGCGGAGACCTGCATGCCTAGTGAAGATGCGAGAAGAGAAACAAAAAAACAGCTGATTTGGATGCCCCATGGGGTCCCCATCCTCTTTTTTATCGTTTTTGCAGGTGAAGATATTCTTAATAGTTCCCATGTGCCTTCCGATTTCCTTACATCCTCCCCACTCATCTCTAATCCTAGACCTAAACCCAACAGGCCGAATAAAGGGTGTGACCCCTTGTTCCATGAACTAGCTAGAGAGGCACAGCACACAAACACGCAAACAAACAAGGAAACTAACAAACCTGCTGCACCACCTGACACGGCGGGCCAAGACGCTGCGTTGAAGGCGACTCTGCTGCGCGGCAAGCTGCTTCGAAACAAAGACAACACATGCACGGCTGTTGGCCACTCCTGCTTTGCGAGGCAGCTGGCAGCTTTGAACTGACTTGGCTTCTGAAATTTGACATGCATGAGACTTCCTGCTGGCAAGCAGTGATGGCAGCACAGACGGAGACCTCATCGCTGCGGAGCTGCCTGCAATTCGCAGTACAAGACACAGGGCTGAAATCTCTTCGCAAGCATCTCATTCAAGAAGCTCTTTCTGGAAGTTTCGCAGCATTGTCGTGGCTGTCCGCCAACGGCGGCCCTCTGCACAGGCAGTGATCACAGCATTGCAGGTGACCAAGTCCTGCAGACTGCGACCGACATGAAGGAAGCCACCGCAAGCGCCGAGGACTGATGTCCTATGGCTCCATCAACACATGAACCCACACAGGGAAGGGTCCGTGTGCGCATCGCTCTGGCGAAGGTCGGCTACTAGGCAAACGGCCGTTTGCCAACTGTCGCCCTGTGCGCAAGCACTTGCCAGCGCGCTGTAGGCAATCACATCGAGCCTCGAGACAGACACATCTTAACCAGGGAGTGTACTCAATCTGTGACCACTTCAAACTTTCGGTGAGCAAGATTCAAGTTAAATTTGTTGAGATGAGCAAATTCAAGTTAAATTTGTTGACATGAGCAAAATCAAGCAACATCGATCAATGTGGACAGGCAGCTGGATCTTGCTTCTCTGGCTGCTGCTGATCAGGAGCATGGCCTGCAACCATGCACTTCCTCGGTTGATTCGCGGTGGACTAGACTCTGGCACTCTCAATCTGTGCGATTCTAAATTGACAGTCGAGGGAGATGGGCGATCATGGAGAAGCGCTCGAGTTGAAATGCACGGCCGCACTGTTTGTTGCTTTGAAGGAAATTTTGTCGGGACCGTGGCGACTTTGGGATCAAAGTAGCTTTCTTTCTCATTTCGTCAAGCTGAGAAGCTTTTCGCAGGGTCACCCCGAAGGCTTCAATGTTTGTCCAGCAGAAAACTCCGAATAATGCTCTCTCACCGACGACATCTCCGGCTACAGACAAAGGAAAGACAGACAGACAGAGAGACAGAGAGACAGAGAGACAGAGAGACAGTGACAGACACAGCCAGAAGACAGATAGCCGGAAAGAAAGACACAGACAAAAAATCATTTGCAGACACTGTCAGACGAAGAGATACGGCAAGGGTGAAAACACAAAGGAAACGGAAAGGCATCCAGGATGCCCTTCTCGCAGGCACTGGCCGCTGCACTGCACGAGACGACAGATGCTCGTAGTCGGGCCCCGTCCTTGGCCACAGGATTGTCAGCAACACACACACACACACACACCATCTCCGCCAATGGCTTTGCAAAGCACCCCCTTACTTTAAATGGCATTGCAATACTGCGCAAGGCTCGAGCTCTTCCAGGAGCTTAAGAGCCCACTGCCACTGGCCTGCTTTCTCGCAAGCACTGATGGCAGAGTTAAAGCTGATCTCGTCAGGCTGCGGCAACTGCGGCATCTGCAAAGCCAAAAGGTTGGACAGAAGGACCAGCGCGGCTTCCCACTCTGCAGCCTTCTCGCACGCACTTATAACTGTGTTCGCAATAATCAGGTTCACCTTGAGACTCTTTGAACCCACCTCCGCAAACAGCCCAAGTGCCGTTTGCCAATGTGAACTCGCCTCACATGCACTCAGCGTTGCACCATATGCCACTCTGTTCGCCTTTAGGCCAAACAGAGGCAATGCCCGCAACAAATACAAAGCCACTTGCCACCGGCTTGCGCGCCCCCACGCGCTTATGACGGTACTGTGTGAGACTATGGTTGGCTCCAGAGCCTCACTGAACAGCACGTCCAAGAGCTGAGCAGCTCGTTGCCAATCGCTTCCTTTTTGGCAGGCGCTTGCGACCGCGTTGAAAACGATGACATCAGCTTTCACAAAGGCGTCTTGAGCCTGTCTCAGCAGAAGCAACACTGGTTGCCATGCCGAGATCTTCTCACATCCACTGATGGCGGAACTGAATGTAACAACGTTTGCCTGGGAGATGTTTTGCAAATCACTTAGAAGCTCTACGGCCCGATGCCAGTCTCCAGTTGCAGTGATCCCTGCGCTGTATGCATGTACCGCACCGTCACATCGGCTCTGCCGGAAGTCTCCGAGCACTCTCAAACTTTTCTGCCATTCGAGTTGCTTCCCGAGCTGCTGGATGGACCTGGTATATGTTCTCGCGTCTGAAAGACTGCCGCAGCAGCACATGCCATTCCTCGCTGCAAGGAGTAGCACAGTGGGGGCCCGGTTTCGCACGAAACAGAACAAGGGTTCCGGGAGTGCCAAGGCAAGTCGCGGCAGCCTGTGCCCTCAAGGATCCATCGATGCGAGCAGCAGGGGCTTGGCGCCAGAGAGGCAAGAAAAGGACGCCGCTTCGCCTCATCGAACGCTTCGGCCCCGGAGCTTCAGCAGCTGAGCATCGGGAGGACGGAGGCCCAAAGCTGTGACTGCTGTCACAAGCGCCGCGCTGTTTTGCTACAATCTCTGTGCAAATCCTGCCAAAACCGCCGATTGCAAACTCGGTGGGCATTCATGGAAGACGTCTTACATTCAACCTAGTTCCGATGGCTTGTCCAGATCATAGCATGGGCATGGCAAGCTTTCATCATAATGGCTGCAAGGAGAGCTCGTGCATGACCAAACGTCGCTCCCAAGGGAGATTGCGAGTTTCTTTCAGCAGGCTCGAAGCACTGATCGTCGTTCTAGCGTGGTGTGAGGGTGTGTGTGTGTGTGATGCAGTATTCAGACGGTGCCTAGATGAGGTCTCTGATCTCAGCTGGGGCCGTTGCCGATGGCTTTGGCTGCGGCCACCTGGCAGGCCCGAGGGTTCCGAGGGTTGCGCGGACGGAGGCAGAGACGCACCAGGAAAGGCCTTCACTGCAAATTCGGCAGGTTGAGCGGAATCCGTTTGGAGGACAACCCGGACCTTGAAACAGAACTCATGTGGTGAATTCACCTTCGACCATTCACTTGGCGTCTTTTTGATCCTGCAGCCCAAACTCCACTCCGTACCTACACAAAGGCAGGACACTCACCTAAGATCGCAGAAGCTGCACCACACACACACCCGCGCGCGCACCCCGCTGTTGGAGCTTCATGCTGGCATCTTCAAACTGTCTAAGGTCAGACACTCTCAATCAGGCCTGTGCCTTCATATGCATCTACATAACCGTCTATCTTTCTGTCTGCTTGTCTCTCTATCCGTCTCCACTCTCTCTGTCTGTCGCTTTGTCTGTGTCACTGTCTGCCTGTCTCAGGAAATTATTAGGCAATCGGCAGTGATTGCGCTTTTTCGCTTCGACAGCAACGTGGGAGTTTGCCGAACGTAGTAACAATGGTGCTGGACTCGGATCGATCAAACCTGATTCGCCAGATCATCGCAGTCCCATGAACGGGTCAGGCTTGTCAGTGCGCAAATGGTGCTAGCGATCGACCATTCTGAATTCTCCCAGCCCCCAGAATCCCAAAACCTGAAGGGTTCCGCACCTGGGAATGAAGCCACCCGCAGACCCGCACATTCATCCTTCCGCGACGTCACCACGGGAGCCAAACACACCAAGGCTTCGACAGGCTCAAAATCCACGAAAACAAATGTGCGTCGCTCGAGGAAACCACTGGCGATACTTCAGACAAGAGAGCTTCGCAAGAGAACATACTAGCTCTCACACCATCTCGACCTTAGGATCGTCGCAGGATCGTGTGGGCTTCGCTCCGAGCCGACCCCGCAACAGGCCCCTTCATCACGAGTGAACGCATGAAAGGTGATTCCGAGCCCACTGCCACTGCCAACCACTGCCCTTCGCCGCGCAGTGTCCCTCTGCCCACTGCCCGGCCCACTGCCCACTGAGTGCCCACGGCTCACTGCCTATCCAAGCCTGTGACCACGAACGAGCGACCGTCGTAGTTGTAGATGGGTGTCACCAGGGTGTCACCAGCCCCAAGGGATGGCGAACCATCACGAGGAACGCCACATGGCCCGGGTGGGATCCTTCAACGATACTATCGCATAGCAGCGATGATCATCTCGAAAAGGTGTACGTAATGTTTGGCGTCCAACACGACCATGTCTTCGAACTCAAGAACACGATCCGGAAAGCGCTTTGGGGGCAGTCTGCTGTGATCTGCCCTCAAATGAGCTGAGATTGAACAGAGCGCCTGGGAGATCATTGCTGCGCGAATCACGGTGAGCCACAGTAGCACGGCTGTACAAGATGGCCAGCGACGTAAACGCATTGCGACATGGAACCGTGGACCGACTTCGAACCATGATGTCATATCGAAGCAAGGCTGCTGAGAACCCCTGCCAGGGCGCCAAGCGCTTGGCGCCATGTGGTCGAGGTTTCATCCCGCCTGAAGCCGCGAAATTAAGCACTCTCGACGTGGCCCGGATCTTCTGCCTCATGCCTTCACGAGCCTGACACTTTCAATCCAGGCAGTACTAGTATCCTGACCAACATCGACCATCGAACATCGTGCAGCCTGCACTGTTCGCAGGTATGGCCCACATGGCCCCGCACTCAAGCGCGGTCATCAGGGCCGTCAACCCAGATCGGTCACCACGCATAGCACGGGCGCTGAACGCCTTTCAACGCAAGCCAAAACGTGCTTTACAGAATAGCAAGAAACACTTCGACGAGCTATCAGGATTCATGATGGGGATACGACTCTCGACGACATAACTTGGGAGCTCAGCGCTAGTTGCCCGAACGTGCCGGCACAGATGACAAGACAGAGAAACGCAGGCATGATGGATGGAGACGCAGGCACCAAAGGTGCAAACCGCAGCCTCGATTGCCTTGGAGGCTGCTGGATCGGAGCCTGCCTGTGTCACAGTCAGTCACGTGGGATGACTAGTGGCTTCGCAGCGCCCTACCTTGCCCACAAACTTCTCAAGGCCACATGCTGCGGCTTTTTGAACGGCGGCATGCCAATCCTCCGATGCATGGCAAGACACGGCTCTCATAATGCGTAGCAGCCGCGGACAACCTGATCCTTTCTGTCGAAGCCTCGTCGAAGATGTTTGCACCCCATGACAACACACACCACAACATGCCACCGCCCCCTTACCGTCGCTTTCCTCAAGGCAAGTGCCCAGGACGGCCGCGGCCGCAGCAGCAGAATCTGGAGTCTCGGCAGCCAGAGCCTGCGATCTCGTTGCAGTTTCGGATGGCACTTCATCGGTCCCTGCCTTCACTGCACTGAGGCGTGCGGAAAGCTCCCCGCCATTAACACCTGACAGGTTCCCCCGATTCGAAACGCCGAAGTGCAGAGCAGCGGCACTACTTGAACATGCTGCATGTAGCATGCTAACGAGCGGCCGTCTCCGTTGCTGGCGATCTTTGCAAGCTCCTTCCAGAGACACCGGCTATCACTGCCACGTCACATTTACTGCAATCATGTCTGCCTGGCAGCCCTTAAGCTCTCGCAACTCGTACAATCTAGACGAGGTCTCAACGCGCTTTCAGGCTACGACAGTGAAACTCAAGGGGCTCGACAAGAATGAAACGGTCTGGTGTCATGGCATGCTGCCGCTTGCTGCCTCCATAGCCCCTTCTCGCACTGAGATATGCTGGTCCTGGTGGGCACAGCTGCAGCGATCGGACCAACTCTTTGACAGATACAAACAGCATAACACAAGGCATGCAATGACGCCATGACAGGTCCACCAACCGGGCGTCCTTGAGGCCAGCAACTATAGCGTCGATGGCTCGCTTGTTGCCACTGGCATGCGCACCAGTCCCAAACACCCGGAGGGTCACGCACGTATTGATGCACGTGCCAGGCCTTGCTGCCAGCGGTGCAAGAGCTCGGATGGCCGTCAGTCTTGCATACACCTCGGACCGACCCTGACCTATATAACCCTGCCGCGGCAGCATCCTGGCTGCTTGGCTTCCCTTTTGTCCGTGGTGCAGAAACAACCATCTGGGCTGCCCGCAACACGGCGGTCCCCTTTGGTGGCCACCTGCGCGTCAAGCTAATATGGTCGAGACATGCACATGAAGGAAATGTCGCCGTGCACGATCAGGAAACAAACGATAGAGTCCAAGTCTTGCAGCTTCAGATAGTTCAGCGGTGCGGTTCGGCACTTTTCGCCAATTGAGCTTCAGTCTGCAGGACATCCCAACTTCGCACATCGCCGGCGCATTGCTGCAAGAGACCTGCGAAAACGAACAAGGCCGCAGAACATGGTGGTTTGGTCACAGAGCATGTCTTTCATCGTCGATGTGACAAGAAAAGGATGTAAGACTCTGTAAGACTTCGAGGCAGCTTGAGACGGACATGTTGTCTAAGATGTTCACTGCAGTTCAATGCACCACGTAATTGTGCCACACGTGGACGTGATCATATGCGCAAGATTGCGCAAGTGGCAAAATGCCCTGGGCCAGCCGCTCGTTGAAGTTGCCCGCCGCTCGCATAGCGATTCCAGCGCTGTAGCTAGCAGGGATGGCAAGGGTGCCTGCAGGGGGACGCATCACATAGTCGGCTCTTCGCTACTGGCAGCATAAGTGGGGCTCTCTGATGCGATGGCAACAGGCAGGGATGATAGCATACAACACATGCTACACCTTTGAATTTGCAGCCGCCTTGGCGTCAAGCCACTTACCACTCGAATCGAAGAAGGCCAGCCGTTGCCGATGCCTAGACAAGTGTCGGCGCCTACACGGCATTGCCGGGGCTCACACTAAGCCACTGCCAAAATGCACTTGCTGTGCTCAACGCTCAAGAGTACCCAGACGATCCAGAACACATGCAAAATGGCACTCTGGAGCGACGAGAACCGAACATATTTTCGGCAAAAGACAGTCGGGCAAGTCTACACTCAAGCTCGGCCGATTACAAGGTAAAGCATGCACGACTTCAAGCCAAGACGTCACTGCTGCAGAGTCACAAGAAGTTGCCTTAGCAGGGCAACATGCTCATGAGCCACCCCTTCGCCTTGCAGGCTACGCGGCTACGCCGGCTACGCGCTGCAGGACATCCTGATGATTCCTAGCGCATCGGAAACATCTGCAGTGCCCGGTAAGCCAAGCCGCTCTTGCACAGGCCTCCATCTCTTTGGAAGCTCGCAGAGCCTCGTGATGCAACGGCGCTTCTTGCAATAGTAATGAGGTGAACCCTGAAATGCCGTCCCAGGATCTGCTGTAGCGGCCATCACGCGCCACTGGGTGGCCGATGTGGGCCAGATGGCTCCTGCAATGTGTGACGATTCCATTGCCGCAAGCCGGCTGGTCGGATGCCGCTTGCTGGAGGGCTTTGTACTTGTAATTGGCAGCTAACCTTTGGAGAGTGGGTTGCAAACGCGGCTCAGGATGAACTGGATGAACTCCAGTGCACAAATTGAGAAAACCTGCTCTCCTGATTTGGTGTTTTCGACCAGTCCCAAGCTGCACAGCTACAGCCTGAGGATCGAACACTGATGTGAATTCTGCACGAGCCGAGCAGTTGACACAGATTCAGTCAAGCCAAGGGCAGAAGCCGACAGCACATGTCCAATCGCAGTGAAGAGGCAGTGATGGCTTCGCCTTGAAGGTGGCATTGCACCTGAACCTGTCCGCCAGAAGATGCTTATCCTTTAAGGACTTCATCCGAACTTTTATGATAGACTGCCCACCGACCGTGTGTATCGCTGCCCCTTAGCACAAATGATTCTTGGGGATTGTAGGGGGCATCCATGGCCATCTCACATAGGCTTCTATATATAGGAGGCTTCGCAAACAGATCCCCAAGGGGCGCTCTTGGCTTTAGGGCCCGGGGTCCCCGGTCCCCGCCCGCCAATCGCCCGGTCGCCTTCAACTTCGTTAGCGAAGCTTTGCCGAGACCTGCACGGGTCGTTTCGGCATCATCGTCCAGCGCAGCAGAGATCGCGCCTCAGACCGGCCCATGCTTTCTTGACTGCGACAGTCACGGGCCCAGGTCTTCCTTATTACTTCTAACATCTTGTCAAGGTTCGCCGCTTTGGTGGTAGCCATCCATGGCTCACGACGAAGTACTCACGCAGCAGCACTCCTGTTCTCGTGCAGGGGATATGTGCGCATGGCGCCAAGTCTCCGGTCTCGGCCAGGCTGATTTTCGAGACAGAACATCCTCTCGAACGTGCGCGATGTCCTGTGTGTAGCTGCAGCTGGAGATAGCTGTGTGCGCGATAGGTCTTTGCCTGAGCTGTGGGAAGACAGCACTCGACATCGCCTGGCTGCAGCCAACATTGAAAAACCGAACGATGGAGACCTTATAGCCTCCGCAAGTTGCAATTGCTGCCAATCTTCTGCTAGAATCAAGCCGGAACTGGGCACGTCCAGGCGATGGATAAACCCAAAGTCGCGAGTGGCATCGTGGAAGATGGGGTAGTTGCCAGCCTCGAAGATGTATCAGCGCAGTTTTGTCTTGCAAGCGCTCGCATGATGCGGAAGCATTAGATGCGACAGGGATCTAGGCACGGGGCGCTTCTGATGAGCTTGTCTCGCAGCTGAAGCTGTCCATGCCCACCATAAACCTTCTCAAGTTCGAACCGAGGACACCCGCCGAGGACACCCGACACACCTTTCGCCTGTCACTGACTTGCCCTATTGAAAAACTCGATCTCATTGGGCTCACGGAGTCGGCCTCCCAGCCAGCCGGCTTCTCCAGCACGACAGGGTCCGGCCTCGGCTAGGGATGGGCACAGCCATGCCCCCGACACGGAAAACTGCAGCTGAAGCTGCCCTTGCGAGAAGGAAGCTGCATCCGCTTTCTCTGCATTGGCGCGGATGCATGCCTTATGATATCATGGCTGGGCGCGCTTGCTTGAAGCTGTTGAGGGCCCTGCCTGGGCAAGCTTGTGCAGGCGCTGCGGGAGCAGGTTGATGGAGTTCAGGGCCCTCAAGATGCCCAGCAGGTCCTTGTCGCCCGAAGCCAGAACCGAGGCAAAGCGGCAAAGCGGCTCCAAAGCTCGCACAACCGATTTGATTTTCTATTCTGTCGAATTAAAGCGGGCGTGCTCACTCGGTCGACACCTCGGTGTCCGCTGGACCGCCTGACTCAAACAGGGCCGTTGGCACCGTTAAGACAGGTCCCAGGGTGCTGCGACCCAGTGGCCTGGGCCCGGAAACATTTCAAACTCAACAAAAGTTCATGCAACTGAGGTCAAGCCCATGAAGGTTGGGGCGGTGAAAGCACGCGAATTCTGCGGTTGGCTCGTTTGGGAAGTCTGAAATCAGCCTCCAAAGGGCATGACCTAACAAGTCCGGAAGAACGGGAGGCCGATCCATCGGTACGAGAGAAACGTTGACCGGCAAGGGTGCATTCGACATCGAGACGCCAAGTCTTGAGGTCTAATATTATGACTTGAAACACAAACACAACTATACGAAGATGTCCAGCTGGCCGGCCAAACTCCAGGAGGCACACAACCGCCAGGGGCACAACTATGTAAACAAGAGTATCGAAGATGAGATGCATCTTGTTCTGCAGTTTGGGCTTCTCGAGCTCGGGTCGAGACTTGCCAAGAAGCTCCAAACTCGGCCGGCCAAGGCACGGACTAGCATGTATGAATGCAGCTCAGCTGTACATTCCTGTACACTGTCGCGCCGCCGTTGGAGGCCGACCAAAAAGACTGGTCGGGACGACTGAACAGCGCAAGCACAATGAGTGCAGCAGAATTTCGGCCAACTCTGCGAGTAAGGATTAGATTAGATTCATCTTTGAGCGTCACATCGCACACGCCGTGCATATTTAGGCCTGGGAAACCTGCACCGTGTGTCTTAATTATCACAACATCGAGGCGCTTGTCAGCCCCTTTGGTTGTGGTAATTCATTCGACCGCACCACATTCGAAGTCAAAATGCTGGCGATAAGTTCAGCCTCTACTCATTCTCCGCGGACGAACTAGTCAACTCCGTAATGCATGTCTTTTTTCTTTCCTTCCATCTCCCTTTCACTTTCAGATTTTCCATGCGCATTTTCGTGCTGTAAAAGTCGACAAAAAACTCCCAAACCTGGAATCACCGACTCAACGGCACCCTACTGGTCTAACAAGCATCCAAGCATACGGCATGCAGTGCCCTCCCTTGCCTCCGAAATGTAAAGGGGCTTCAAGTGGGTACTGGGCATGACATACGCTGCGCGCTTGTGTATCTGCGTGTATACTGTTTTCATGTGCTTATGCATACAGGTGAGAGAGTGTGTGTGTGTGTACATATGCATACAGGCCACTGTGTACATGTATGTGTATGTGCATGTGCACGTGCAGGTGCAGGTGAAACGTATGTATGTATGCCCCATACTGCCATACTTCCACGTATAAAGTCGTGATGCAATCGCAAATGCGGAAAAGCGGTGCTTGTACGCAGAACATGCTGTTTCGTAGCAGGTTTGATGAGTGTCAGGTCTGACTCTGCCCGGAGATGCCACGAATACGCAGTGGCATGATGACGCGTTGTTGGGCATTTCCAGCCTGGTCACGTTACGAATTTTTCCCCGAATTGGTGAGAGATGTTGAAACACTACAGCACCTCAGCATTGGGCGCCCGAAGCCTTCGTGAACTGTCTGGTTCAGCCCTTGTTCTCGCATTTCGTTCTTGCTGTCACTCTTGGCACGTAGCAGAATGGCACAGTGATCACGGCTATCTTCGCGTTTCCTGTCGAAGTATGCAAGTCGGTCTTCACTCATGCCAACTCCCTCATCAATACATGTCGTTGTGCTTCGTGACCCCTCTTCATTGTGATTGTTGTGATCTTCATCCTGGGGTGCAGTCTCTCGGAGCCAGGAGAGCCAGGCGGCATCATAAGCTTGGCGTTCAATTCTCCGGAAGCGGTTCCGGAAATCTCTGCAAAGGCTGTGTGCAGTTGCAGTCACGGGACTCACGGGATTCTGGTCGTGAGTTTGGGGCTCGCCTGTGATGCTTTGGCAAAGTTCAGCCCACTTCCGTCAAGTCGGTGATAAGATGGTGAGCTCACGTTGGCATTTTGCTACGGATACTACAAAGCGTCTAGTCTGCAGGGAGCTGCCTTCAGTCGGGAGTGACTTGCATTCTTTACAAGTGGCTACAGAAGGGAAGCTGCATGAAGTCGCGAGTGACTGTAACCGCAAGGGAAATGAAAAAGTTGCCGGCTCTTGGCAAAACTTTGGCAAAGTCAGCCGTGCAACTTTCTGTAGCTTCACAGACCAGCTGCTCTCCAGAGAGCAGGCCTCTGAGACAGATTTAACCCCTCACCAGCCCTTGCCTCACCGAGCCGTGTAGCATGCGTTCGGGCCTAATCAGGCCCGATCTTCGGCCCGGCCCTGCTCTGCATCTGGGACGTCCAAGTCCAAGCCATCCCCGTGACTTTCATCGCTTGCCGAGGGCAGCGCAGTTGGAGCGCAACAAGCCAAAAGCAAGAAGAGGTATGGCAAGCTGATCGCAGCCAGCGCACTGGCGTTTACCACGGCGACAAGACCAACTAAGTCGTCGGCTGAGGTCGTGTTCAGCGACTGCCATGTGTAGTAGAAGATGAACAGCAACGAGAGAGTGCTCAAGATTGCGGCAGACAAGAAGTGAGAGCGGTCTGAAAGGCCGGTCAAACAAAGGCTCCAGGCAAGCAGGAACACAAAACCGACCAACCAGCCGATGCCCACTGCTGCTAAAGCTGAAGCCGCAGAGCTGCATCGCCCTTTCTCACGGAGTAGCATACGACAAACCAAGGAAGCAGTACCCAGAGTGATGATGATCAGCGCCAAAAGGTACATGTGCTGATCCACAGCTAGGCTGGCGGAGCTCACTCCCCAAAAGGAGCCCACGCACAGAGTCATCACTGCGAGGCAGATGTAGTTCCTTGGATACCTCAGCAGTTTCAAGCTGCTTTTCGCCCCCACGTTGCAGTGTGGCAGCGCACACCTGGAATCACCATTTTAACATGGTGCCAGTGATTTGTCTAGTGTTCACAGTCTGAATGGTCTCCAACATGCTCACTTTCGAACAAAACTCAAGCTTGTAGAATTCGGACACTGTAGCCCGGCTTAGATTTACAGTATCATGGACACCCTCGGGTGTGACGAACTCCACTAAAAGGCATGTGAACGAGAACATGCATTCCTGATCTTTTTTCCAGCGGAAATTTCATCGTCTAGTCCTCACTCGGCCCTCGAGAACCCTTCCGTCTTGGTGCCCTCTTGTGACAGACATGGCACGGACGGGCTTCCGGTGTTCTTACTACCAGCTGCACTCTCCCACAGCAACATTTTTACTTCCAGACACAATTTCGGCGGCTAAGTTAGAGTTCGGGCATATACAAAATTTGGAGTCTATCAAGAGCAAGTCGCTGGCTTCTGACCCTCCAGAGGAGCCACATGAGGAGCGTTGTGACTATGCAGAGGCTGTAGTACTCACCCAGCAGAAGTGCGGAGCCACGCGTAGGAAGTGGTAGCACCTGCCATTCCTACTTGCATAAGACAGTGATCCTGTACGAGGCTTCATGCATACGAAACCCCTCAGCCCTAGCCGATCGGGCAAGCTACGAACTCAGCTGAAAGAACAGACTGCAGTGCCAAAATACCATACAGCTGAAGTGATCCTAAACTTCCTAAACATGCGATTGTGCGGTGATAGAAATCAATCTACCAAAAGGCCGCTGTCTTCATGCCCCATCGCAATGGAAGATTTCAGAAGTGTTGCAACAGCAGGCCTTAGCGATGCGGCGGTTGTCGCCATCATCGACATTCGGCACCTCAGGCGGCACAAGACTCAAAGGACGGCAGGACAAAATGAGATGTTTACTAGCGGTTTGCTGGGCAGAAGACAACAGCTGCCATCTCATAGCTTATTGCCCTGTCTGTGCTGCTCATTCCGAGGATAGTGCAGCCGGAGGCAGGAGGCACTGCCCATGAGACCCCGGCAGCGACCGAAGCAAACGTTTACATGCCAGCAGAGTGCAAGGGGAGCATTGATGGACGGCTTGGGAGAGCCGAGGCGCCTGGTTCTTTACAGCGGCGTGGACCAGGAGTGCTGTTACCAAGCACATGCTCAGCTGCAACGCACAAAGAGCAAAGAGCTTCGCGAGAAAGTCGCGCTGAACATACAGCCTTCGCAGCCGCAACTTGTGCAGGGATGCAGAACGCGGCTGCCGCGCAACAAAGCTTATGACAAAGACCAGCTCAACAAATGCTGGGGCAAAACCCGCAATGAACTTTTGACTCACTCGAACCACCAACAGCGGCACAACTTTCGACCCGCGGCGGAAGTTTGCGCTCCACAGCAGAACGCTGCCCAACAGCGCCTTCAACGGGCGCCTCCTGAATGGGAGTCTCGGGAAAGCAATAATATAGCATAATGACATGAGAGCTGCAAAGACACTAGGTCGACATGAAACTCCTGGCATCTCCTGGCCTCGTCCTGTGGCCTTCGTGTCGCATCAGCATCTTCGGGCAGCTGCCTCGAGACTCGTTGTATGAGGACTCAAGACACAGTCTACTCGGCCAAGCATTTGGCATTCGGGTGCTGGCAAGAGGCGGTTCCAGCATGTTGCCGACACAACAGCCAAGACTGGTGGAAAATGGTCACGAGAGCAAAAACTTGAGGGAAGTCGCACAAATTGGAACGTGCACCATGTTGCAAGATCAGAAGCTTCTCGACACGCCTCAAAAGCAAGAATCCTGCACTGTAGCGAGGACATGCTACCTGCAGAAACAACTGTGATCCAGACGACTAGATTAGGGTGAGAGTCTGAGAGGGTTGCCTTTCAGGAGTGCTCCCTCTGGTCTTGGCGCCTGTATAACTGTATAACTGTGTCTACAGATCATTTACAGCCCGACGCACCTGCGAACTTCTCGAACAGCCTTGCCTTCAGAAGCCTGCACTTTTTTTCTTCATGCGCTGGGCCCAAGTAGCCAGTCGGAATGTAGCTGGGGCCGGCCGAGCCGGCCGTATGTCAGGATGATCGAGGACTAGTAACTAGTGCCTGCTGCTGCGCATGCAAGGATGTCAAATACCAAAATCTTCCCCATGGATCGTTGGCACGCATCTCATTCTGGTTGATTTGTGGCACGCCCGCACTCCAAATGCCACAGGTGCTGGTTGGCTTCGTGATTTCCACCTCGCTCGAGGTGGATGCGGCGCATGTTGCGACTCCAAGCTGCCCTCGACAGGGACGGGATGTCTCTATCGCCCGGTAGAGTTGTAGCAAGTGCGAGCCGCTAGCAGATGAAGACGCGGTGGTTTGCCGATGGCTTCATGGCCAAGCAGATCAAGCAGCCTAATGAAGCTTTCTGATGCCAGGCCAGGCCAGTCACGGCTGGGACCGCCCGCCATTGCTCAATTCATGATTAAGGTCAGCTTATGCGAAAAGCACTGAAAAGCCAGGAAATCCTTATGTATTTACAGATGTGGAGATGCCTCTTGCGAACATCCTATGGACGAGCGTCCCAAGCCACAAGGCGGCTAACATTAAGTCACATCTTCGAGAACTTGGTAACAGGACTACTGAGTTTGATATCATGGCAGAGCTGCAGGGCCCCCTCCTGCCAATCCTTGTCGGCCGCGTATCCGACTTGCATCCTTACGGGCAACCGTGAGAATGCCATGACAAACCTCTTTCAATGTCCTGGTCCTTCCTCTTGCTACATCTCATTTTCCGGGATTCGCTCCAAGCTTCGACAACAGTCGTCGCTCAGCCTCTTCGGCTATTGCCCAAAAAAGTTCTTGACCTGAGCTGCAGTTCTCGCTATCTCTCTCTCTCTCTCTCTCGCTCGTTCCCTGTCTCTCTCTCTCTCTCTCTCTTCTTCCCCGGAGCATGAGGGGTGTTCGAAGCCCCCCGGCCGCAAGGGCCCCCCGATGTTTATTGGGGGCTTTGGAGGAGTGTGAAAAGATGGCTGTTTTCCTTGTTTGGTGCAGTTGCGTAATTTAATACGAATGTCAGAACAAGGGTCCACAATGCAATGTTTATGACACACGGCAAGCACTCTCACGTCTCTCTCTCTCTCTCTCTCCCTCCCTTTGCTTTGCTTTGCTCTGGGGCAAGGAGAAAGGGCAGTCCCCTTCCCCCTCTCTCTCTCTGACGTGCCATCCCCTACGGTCTCGCTACGCAAGGGAACACAATGGCAGGCTGGACTATATGAGGCATAGCTGCAACTATCGGCACCCATCAAAAGAACACTACGTTCATCAAAGTACTGAGTCGCTCGACGCACCGTGCGGCATGCCGTGCATGCAGTCAAAGTGCCGAGGTTCAGCGCAGCTCCCGCCGCAGCAACGACTCGAAGCTCCTGACTAAGATAGGCCAAGATGAAGGATCGGATCTAAGTATCGAGCCAGTTCAAGGTAAATCTTGCTCAAGCTACGTGCTCAATGTCTGCTGCAACCCGCGGCGCTCATTACCGCTGTTGGGCTCCTCGAGAGTGCACTTCTTGTGGCAATGCATCACATGCTTCTCCAGTTGGTGAGTAATAGCAGGACCAAAGATTCCGAGGTTGGCCTCAGTTCTCAGCGAGACAAGATGTGAGCGCAGGAGCAGGCCGTTCTCTGCCTCTGCCCCTAAGTATCCAGAACACCTTGGGGCCTGCAATCTCAATACACGCTCTTCAGCCACAGCACTGCAGCCCAGGCAAAAGATGTGACCTGCCACGAGCATAAGGCTGCCAGCAAACGCTTTGGCAGCGTTCGGCAGCCGACTATCAGGATCCAGAGCACATATTGGGCAGAGTCTGCAGGATGTATGCCTGCACTAGCCCTCCTGGCCTCTGCTGCACTCAGAGGCCCCTGTGCTGCACGGGCAAGCGCCTCTGCGGCCCGTGGGGTCCGGCAGCCTAGAGCGAAATGGATTAAGGCACCGCATCGGCAGTAGCCCCCCTCGCATCATGCAATGATGCGACCACATGAAGTACATGACAGGACATGGCCCGGAATGGAAAGAACGCAGCACGTGCGGTTCTGCCGGTGGGGACAAACTACAGACCAAGGAACCCAGCTTGGCCAAAGCCCACGGGAAAAAGGTCGGAGACCACAGCGAATTCATTGGATCAAGACCTCGTGTGAGCACCCCAAGAGACACAAAGCATTGAGAAAAACCTGGCTGCTGCACAGGTTTGCATGCTCGTGGCCGTGCCCACGGGCACAGGCGACAAATCGAACCCTTACGCCAAGACGCACAGCAAGAGCCCCAGCACTTGCTGCCATGCATGGGCACCAGCCGCGCAGATGAAGGACCCAAAGCCTCGAGCTTGAATTCAATGGAGTTCTTAATGGATGCTGCTGGGGATGGATTACGCGGATGCGCCTTGTAACAGTCGCCCTTATCTTCGGATAGGCAGTGCGCAGGTGCAAGCGAGGGAGTGGTGAGAAAGCGTCGAGTTCGCTTCACACTTCAACTACATTTTATTTAGACGGTATAGACACCTGTAAACCATAGTTGTAGTAGCTATGGGGTACCGGGCACCGGGTACAGGCTACAGTCCAAGGAGCTCATCTCATCTGGGGTCAAGGTGTCCTTGAACATGCAGAGAATCCACTGTAGCGACGTTGGCCACTGCTCGCTCTTGGCACAAGCAGCGACGGCAGCGTTGCAGCCTGAGAAAGCGAAGAATCCAGAGTGGAAGACCGAAAGATTGCTGCAGAGCGAGCGAACAGCGAGTGGCCTTGGGCTCGAGGGCTCATCCTTCTGGAAGGCATCAGCCCTAACAGCCTTAGCTTTGAGCTGGAGATTTTTACGGAAATTCCCGTCTTAACCGGCCGGGCGACTTGCAGGCTCCTTCCCAATGGAGCCCTTTCTCGTGCGCGCTCACTCCCCAATCGTGGTGAGTCCTTGCACATTGCAGCTTCAAGGGAGTCTTGGAATCTCTGCGTCTCCGCGCTTGCTTCGGCTCAGGCAAGGCTCGCCGCAGGCCGCAGGCCCGCGCGTTGGGCAGCTGCCAAAGCAGCCAGAGATCGGTGCCAGGTTTGGGTCTGCGCGGCCATGGCAACGGTCAATCTGCGCATGGCCTCAAATGCACCAATCACCAATGCATCCGTGCCCTGTTATGCCACTGACTGCCACTGTACTCTCAGCGATGTGTCCGAGGCACCACCCGCCAGCTATTCGCTTGGTCGGCTCTGCTGGCGGCAAGGCGGATCAAAAGATCGCAGGCCTCAAGGTACCGGAGGCTCTTTCCCGGTATCAATCTTCTGCAGAGCGTGCCTCGATCCAGTGGGAAGCCTCCTCGCCATACGCGGCAGAAGACACTCAAGACTGCAGGCAGCAGTGAAACACCGCCTTGCGCACCCTCCTGCAGGCCCTCTGCGCTGGCCGCAAACTCTTCAGCATGGCCCTGTGCTAGCCAGTGTCACACTTCGAAGTCTCACTGCGTGCCACACGACTCCCCCAACACCGTCGAAGGCAAGCCGCCGCACGAAACTCCAGCACTTGTAACCAAAGGCTGGGCTTAGATCGCAGCGTGCCTTATCACAACACGACTTGCTAAGGCACAATGAATGCTCTCGAACGGCATGATAAAACACTGACAGCTGCAGAGTGAAGCTCCGCAGGTAACTATTCCAAAATGCTCTTACAAGTATGTGCTCTAATCTACCTGATTTCGGCTAAGCTGCCGGGGTCGAAGGTGGAGAGCATCAGATGCGGTCTCAGGGCCTGGTCGGCACTTTAGTGAGTTAAGCGGATACAGCCGGAAGATTTGGGCTGAGGTCCGAGAAATCAATAACCTCCTTAACCTCTCTAGACATCAAGCAGCAGGAGTGCCGAGAGCATGTGGAAGCATGATTTTTGCGCAAGCGCGCCCTAGCCGTCGGTCGCCCCGCCGCATTGAAATAAAAGGCTGGCTCGACTGCTTCCAGAGTTCTACTCTGTCAGTGAAAATCTGCACCTGACCCGCATCCATCTTGGCAGTTTGCACAGAATCGGCATACTTGTCACCACTCCAGCGAAGTTATTGACTGTATTCAAAGCTGGCAAGACGTAGCGATTTCACAGGGCATCGCGATCAGACCAAGCAGGGCATTGTCCGCGGAGTTTCGGACACCCGGCCAGACGGACACTCGTCAGCTCACTATCAGCGGCGCAGCGGAGGTTTGGGCGTGAAGAACTGCTTGAGCTTTCGCAAGGGTGCCTCCAGCCTCATTTCCGACACAAGGTGAAGATCGCAGGTCAGAAAAGGTCGAAGAAGGCCAGCAAAGCTGACTTGGCTTCCGCCGAGCGTCGCAAGCTCTTCATCCTCGATCCTCGTAATGCACGACATGCGATCTCGAACACGCATTCATGTTGGCACATGTCAACATCATTTCTAGCCTCATGACAACACCTCACACGAAGTTTGCAGCTTGCCAGCTTGGTTGGGCTCCCGTTAGCTCAAGCCAGGGCACGCTTTCTCCGTAACTCGCAGCTCTTCGCGGACGAATTTCTGGCAAGTCAAAACTGTTAGGTTTAAGCTTAATTTGAGATGTGCCGTAGGGAGAGCCTTCATCTATAAGATGCTCGCGATGGGCTACTGACTGCTGACGCAAAACCACTCCTCACCTCCGTCATCTTCTCAAGTCGCCGAGCGGCTTCCGCAATCTCCTTCCTGGATGGGTCGTTGTGAGCCGTTTGTTCAACCATGCCATGGCTAGTGCACAAAATGCGAGAGCAAGACAAGGCATCCATAAACCATGAACGGATTTTGGCTAGCTCCAGCTAATTTCCAAGCGTCTCTTCCACGTCCACCTTCGAGATTGTTTTACGAGCAAGGCGCGTCAGCTGCCTCATTTCGGCGAATGGTAGAAGAGCATCGAAAACCCTCCCCCGCCCCCGAGGCCCGGGGTCTTAGGTCCCTGAAACTCGGCTCAGCGACTCTTCAGCTCGCAACTCTGCCTGCTCAATGAGCCGTTCAGCGTACTGCCTCGTGTGCTCAGCAGGCGACTCTGACCGCGACATCTTGTGCAAGACAGGCTATCACAGCAAGCAGAGTCCACTGCTTGCGAGTTGCGTGCGAAGTTTGGATGGGTCACCCTCAACAGGACAGGAGTTGTCTGTGGCCTGGCACTATGGCACGCATGCTTTCAGCCACATGAAACAAGAGATGTGGCATCAAAGAAAAAGGGCACGGCACAAGAAGCTCATGCGAATGTCTGCAGTCTGGGCCTTCCAGAACTTGTCAAAGGGTACTTTTGCCTTTGCCGTTGCTTCCCTGACCCTCTCCATGATCCTTTGTCACGACGCCACAATCCGCAGCCGGCTGTGCAGAAACAAAAAGCCACTTCCGAGAAACCTGATGCCTGGCCATGCCTAGCCCCCATCCCAGCCGAGAGGCTGCGGCGGCACCGTCTTTGCACGTGTGTAGAGCGTGCCACCGCCATATCCAGCCCATGCGTCGTTCCTTGAGCCGGTCCGACTCTTGTTAAACGAAAAACCGTCCTGTCTAATTCCAGTGCCAGTAGCAGCACAAGCACTAGCAGCGGCAGAACTAGCAGCAGCACCTCCACTACTTCCACTGCGGGACTGCGGGTGAAAAGAGCACTGCCACAGACACTGCGACTGTGACTGCTACTGCTGCTGCCATTTCTACTCCCACCACCACCACCACCCACCCACCCCACCCACCCCACCCACCCCACCCACCCCACCCACCCCACCCACCCCACCCACCCCACCCACCCCACCCACCCCACCCACCCCACCCACCCCACCCACCCCAACCACCCCACCCACCCACCCCCACAACCACCCAACCACCCAACCACCACCACCACCACCACCACCACCACCACCACCCACCACCATCGCTGGACAGTCGCTTCCAGGCCAGTGGTAGTGCGGGGGCTGGTGCTGGTAGTGGTACTGGTAGTAGTAGTGCTGGTGCTGGCGTTGGCACTGGCAGCTCTTGTGCTGGTGCAGGTAAGGTGGTAGTGCTGGTTCTGGCACAGGTAGGGCAGGAGTGGCAGCGGTAGTGGTGTCTTGTGTCTCTCACCCAGCGCACTTCAAGCAGCGCCGCAGGGCAACGAGGGTTGAACTATGAAACGACAATGCGGCAACTAGAAGTTCCAGGGCATTCAGCATCAGGGTAGGAAGCAGTACCGAGCCCAGCCAAAGAGTGCAGTAGCAGAAGAAGCAGCAGACCAGTAGCTGCACAGCGACAGAGTAGGAGTAGTAGTCGGTGTCGTCGTAGCAGTAGCCGTCGTCGCAGTCGTCGTCGTAGCAGCAGTCGTCGCAGTCGCAGTCGTCGTCGTCGCAGCAGCAGTCGTGGTAGTCGTCGTAGTCGTAGTAGTCGTAGTAGTCGTAGTAGTAGTAGTAGTAGTAGTAGTAGTAGTAGTAGTAGTAGTAGTAGTAGTACTAGCAGTACTAGTAGTAGTACTAGTACTAGTACTAGTACTAGTACTAGTACTAGTACTAGTACTAGTACTAGCAGTAGTAGTAGTAGTAGTAGTAGTAGTAGTAGTAGTAGTAGTAGTAGTAGTAGTAGTAGTAGTAGTGGTAGTAGTAGTAGTAGCAGCAGCAGCAGTAGAAGCAGCAGCAGCAGCATTCGTCGCAGCAGCAGTGCCGGTAGCAGCAGCAGCAGCAGCAGCAGCTGCAGCAGCAGCAGCAGCTGCAGCAGCAGCAGCAGCAGAAGTAGCAGTCGTAGCAGCAGCGACAGTCGTCGTCGTCGTGGTGGTGGTAGTCGCGGTGAGGACAGATTGTCTGCCGTGCCGCGACAGATTTCCGAGCACGCTGCACAGCTCACATGCAGGCCCTCTTCAGACAGGGAGCTGACCCCTGTAGTAGATTAGGACCTTAAGGTCTGCAGAAACACACGTGGGAGCAGGTTGTCGCAAGCTAGAAGCTCTGTCACAAGTCCCAGCTTTGCTGTGAAGTAGCAAAGCCAAGCTCGGGGTCGTCCTCGTCGCCGTGGTCCAAGACATACCAATCATCCTAAGGGTGTGTGGAAGGCGCACTATGACAATGGCATAGCCTGGGTCTAGTCCAACCTGGTAGTGCAAGTACTCGTTTCCATGATTCTCCAACTTGCCCGCCGGCTTCGTTTGGACAAAGCCTGGAACGGTCTGGGTATGGCTCGCGCTCGCAACAGCCGGCAGAACGCGGGCATGGCAACGCAACCGCAAGCTTGGACCGCTAACCTGCTAACTCAAGTGAAGTCTGCAGTGTCCGAGGAACTCTGGACAGTCGATCGAGAGATGAACTCGCCGTCCACCTCGTTAATGCGCCTGAGATTTCCACGCACGTGCGGAAAGACTAGGTCTACTTAGTTACCTAGTTCTAGGTCGGCCGATCTGAGTGCACAACCAGTTAATTTTCCCGACCAGTCGACCGGGTGTGTTTTCCTTTGGCGCCATTCCTGCTGCATCTTGTGCCCTTGGAAACACGGAAAGCAGATGCAAGCACAAGGTCCTTCGAAGAAGTGAACTTGACAGTCGAAGGTGTCGAACAAGGGGTTCAAGCCTCGAGGATGACAGCAGCTGACACCCAGGTTGCCCTTTCTGTTTCTTGAGGCTACTAGCGGCTTCGCTTTTTCGCTTCTTCGCTTCGCTTCTGGGCTCGGGCCCTGGCCGGCGGTAATGTACCATCGTCCGGTCATCTTCGCAACGTCGAAATCCTCCTGCATGACGGTACAGTAGCAGGCAAACTTAGACTCGGCGGCTCAACGACTACCATTTCAAAACCAGATGGCCGACACCGACTCAGCCGGCGGTTCCGGATATCCTGAGCAACATCGAACAGACTTGAGCCGTCAAGGTCTGCCCTCTTCGCAGCTGAGTGGGCCACGCCCTTTCACCGGCTCCCAGTTGGAGTCTCCCGGAACAGGGCCTTTGTCCGGACGCTGTGGGACGCCTCACAGCCCAAGATTTGTGGAAAGACCCCCCGGAGCCAAAGCATGCATTGAATTGCCTTGTTACTAACAGGGGCCTTGTTAGTCATTGAAATGGCCTGCGCCGCCAAGGTACATTTCTTCGCACTCAGAGCACAGGCATTGAATTGCACGACCACGTCGTTTTCGAAATTGTTGCCGCAGTTTATCCTCGGCTAAAGCGGAAACAAGACATCAAGACACATCACATCACATCGCATCTGGAAGAGGTCGTAGTCTCTCACACAGTCTCCAGTCATGCTTCTGACAGCTGGACTCGTCCGGGCGCCCGGAACAGGCGATGACGCAGGTCCTGGGCAAAAGCAAGGTGGGGGTGCGAGGCAGTTCGCGCCGCCTGGACTTCCTGAAACTCAGCTCCAGGCAGGTCGGCGGCGCAGCTGGGGTTCAAGATGCACTTCGCCAAAGGAAGCCTGAGAAACTGAAAGGTGCTCCCTTCTTTCCTTGCTTGAGCGGCCCTATAGGGCCCTGGGCCTAGTCCTATCTGCCGGCATTGCCTGAAGCGCATGCTGGGGAAGTGGCTGGCACTTGCTCAGCAAACAGGGTGCCACAGCCGCAAGGTTATCTGCAGCCACGGCCAGCCCAGGCCTGCCACAAGATTTCAAGGCCCGATCTATCTTGCCAGCTGATCCGGATGGAACCTCAAAAAGCAAAGAGTCATGGCAACAAGCATGGAAGTTGCCAGAGAGATCAGCGTGGAAGGCTCCACCTCACACGATTGAATGGAGTCCCGCGAAGCGATTATGGCGAAGCCATGCAAAGCCGAGCCACGTTGAACGGGGAAGATGGCCCGGCCGGCCGGAGGGATGAAGCGAACGAATCTGCCGTGCCAGTCCTGTGAAAACATTCCATCCGAAGCCTCTTCTGATGCTGAAGGCGCTATGACACAAGTGCACGACACCGCACGAGACCGGTCCTGCTCTTCGCAGGCTCGACAGGCCTAGAATGCCTAGAGGACGAGGACCAGCCACTGAAACCAACCTGGCCAGATGCTTGTGCCTGCGTGTGACAATCCCAGAGCTATGTCAGGATGGGCTGGGCGCCGGGACTGGCACGACAGCGACGGCAGAGAGGAGCAGAAGGCCTTGAGGTAGCAATGCTCCCACACAAGGTGAAGTGTCCCGGGCGGCCTAGAAGGCCAGCGCAAGACGAACGGCGCGGCTGCAAGCTTTTGGCCATGGCGACAGATGGCAGAAAGTAACAAGGAGCTTCCTGATGACCCGAACTGTGGCTCGCAGAATCTGCAAGGCAAACATGCAAAACTCTTGACGAGCCTTGGATGAGTTTGAGGGTCGTAAGAGATTACAAAAACGACAAGCCGCACGTCGTTGGCAGCGGTGACAAGCTTGGCCAAACAGCTGACATGCGCGATGCAAGTTCGGCAACATCCGATCCAACCCTTGCATCTCACCGCCGTGGTCAGCCTGCGTCACAAGTTCGTGCAACCATCCCAACATGCCTGATGCTTGGCATTTTCGAGCAGCATCAGCCTCGCCTGCCATGCACCTGAACGCAACCCTTGCCGGTTGACAAGGGCGGGACTCCCCCCAGGGCTTCCCAAGCGCGCCTCCGCTGGTCACGGCGAGCTGCGCCGAGGCCAGACCAGCTTCATCAGGTGCCTGCAACATGCAGAAGGATTCTGACGAGCAGCCTGGTGTGCGTTTGAGTGGCCTCATTCTTGGCAGGAGCGGCAAACAGCCGAACCTAAGATTCTTCCAAGCAAAACAGCGCTGCTTGCACGAATCTTGCTGCGAGCAGCAGCGAATTGCCATGGTCCAGCGCGCTCGAAGGCGGAAGCAGCCGAGTTGAAGGAAATGCCTGCCAGGTTCGCATCGTCGGAGAAGCTTCCACGAACGTCACAAACCAAGCGACGTCCCTCTCTTGGATTTCTGATCTTTCGCGAACCCCGCCCCTCCCCCGACCCCCAACTTCCTGTGAACTCGTGCCCGGTTATATAATCCTTTATCGTCGACGAGTGCAGTTACCGGTATGCCGTGGCATGCCGACCAACAGATCTAGGATCTAGAGACACAGTATGCATGCCAAGAGGCGGTCGGCGTAACCCTTGAGCCGCTGGCACACAACCAGTGCCTGTCCACACTTGGCACTGCTTCCACTGCTCTAAGCCCTGCTAGCTCCGTGCCTGCGCCCACGCTCCTGCTGCTGAGCAGGCCTTAGGAACGCGGTGTGACATGGAACTCAACTACCCAGTCCACAAGCCGTCCATTCAACAGCTTGGCAGGAAGCGCCTGAATCATGCCCAAATCCGAGCCGCGGCAGTGAACGATGACGCCGATGCAAGGTCACTGCGACATCTCCACGCGAACTGCCAAAATAATGAACTCTCGCTCGCTCGCTCTCGCCCTCGCCCTGTCCCTCTCTTTCTTTCGCCAGGTCTTTCGGATAGGGTTGCCCCCCCTCTGTCCCCCTCTCTCTCTCTCTCTTTCTTTCTTTCTTTCGCCAGGCTGGGAGGCGAACCCCCGCCCTTGGGGGCCGCCCGATGTTGGCGGTACGCACGGTATTACGTGCGGCAGGCTAAAGTTACGACACCCCGAACCGAAGACAACTGAAGCTGAGCAGTTGGAGTATATAAACATTGTGTTCGGGTGTGTTCGTAGTTGGCGAGTCGCCCGGGCAGTTATTCTGCTTCCGCAATGCCTTCCCGGACTATCAGCAGGACCTGGATGCCGTAAGTCTACATTATCAGTTCTCACCCTTGGGATTGCACTGCAATGGGCTGCACTCGCTGAGGTCTACATGGCTCAACTTGGGGCTCATTCAATGATTGCAGTCAGGTTCAGTACCATGTGTCAGACGGGTCCCCACTAGTGAGCCTGTGGACGGTTTTTTATGGACTGTTCGCCCCGATAACGACGGTAGCAACACTTGGCCTGAGGGTCTTGTGCATCATCATAGGACGGGCGAGGTCCCTAGTAGAAACACTAACAGTCTCGACTCTACACTCTGAGTGCCGACGCCCCTGGGTGCAGAAACACATGGTGCCTGAGGAGGCCTATGTAAATAGTAAATCACAAGACTGGGGTCATTAGTCGCTACTGTCAGATTCAGGTGAGCTTGCCGGCGTTGGTTTGTCAGTGGGGCTCGAAGTCAGGCGGCGTCTCCCCGTCGGCAGTGCGTAGTCCGCCATGGCTTCAAGTTCGTCTTCTTCTCTGGCTGCTCCGGCTTGCGTTGCAGACCCCGCAGCTTGTTGCGCTTCCATCTCTTGGTACGTGACCGCCCCTAAGTCTTGTGTATGGGTCTCCGCTTCTTGCCAGTGGGCCGCCAGCAGCAGCGTGGCTTGGTCGTCGCTGTCGTCGTGAGCTTGCTCTTGGGCTGCCTGGCCCGCCTCGAACGTCACCCGGATCTTCATGGTCTAGTTGTGTGGGACCTGTCGCCCCACCTGTAGTCGGCCACTCTTCTTGTCCAGGGGGGACTTCTTCTTGGCTTTCTTGGGCCAGGATCCCCCCTCCATTGTACCAGCGAAGGACTTCTATCAGCGCTCTGCCGCAAAGCTGGTATGCCTCCCCTTGCAGAAAGCCCCGAACTGCGGCCAGGTTTTGCGTTGCTTGCTCCATGGTGATGGCGTGGGTGAAGAAAGGTCTGTCTTCTTCCGCCCCGCCACTGTTGAGCTGGATGACATCCGCCCCATGCGTTGTAGCGGGTGGCCAGGTGTCCTCCCCTTCAGCAACCGTGGCCAATCGGGAGCCCACGAGCAGGTCGTTGTAGTGCTCCGCGAGGCCCGCGATCCCCATGGCTTCAACCCTACTGTACACGTTGTTGACTATGTGGTGGACGCCCCGTGCTGCTGCTAGTCTGGTACTTGTGTGCGTGTGGAACCTGGTGCTGCATCCATGGCTGTGGTCACCAGGTAAAGCGTTCTGGCAAGCTGCTGCAGCACCATGTCCTGAGTCAGGTGAGTGTTTGCCTCCACGGTGCTCAGGGACAGGAGGTTGGCTGCGGCTTCTCTGAACAGGGAGTTGCTGCCCCGAGGTTTTTTGGTGGGGGATCCCTCTGCACTACTGCATGCAGTTCTTGCCCTGTTGTTCTGTCTCCACGTGGTAAGCATGCTCAGCAGGATAACGACGTGGTATGTGACTGCATGCACTTCACCTCCTGCCGTTTCATACAACAAACTGCGGAGCGTATCTATCACGTTGTCTAGGGTAGGCTCTTCTTCTGCGGTGGGGTTCTCTTTCTTTCTTTCTCCGGGCCTGAGGGCGAGCCCCCGCGGGAGCCGCCCGTTTGTTGGTTGTGTGCATGTGTGTTACATGCTGGAACAGCAAGCACTCCTCGGCGACATCGTGTATTATGCCCCGAACAGTCCGTACGAAGTGCCCCGAAATAACCGTACTATACGACGTCCAGTATGTCGCCCATTGCCATCTGTACGGTGTGGGTTTTCCACTCGCCCATGGTGGGCTGGCATGTTGAGGAGGCTGTCTACGAGTGGGCCTGGCATGATCACAACAGGTTCAGCGAGCTACCATATAGGTTCTCTCTCTCTCTCTTTCTCTCTCTCTCTCTCTCGCTCAATCCCCGCCAGTCAGGAAACTGTTTCGAAACGTATTTCTGCCATCTCCTGCCTCAGCCAGTGCATGCTGCCACTGCGAACGCAGCAGCGGTCTCCGAGCGACTGCATCCAAGGTCCTGTGTCGGGACGTTTGCCAGATTTTGCGGAGAGAGCCCATCCTACCGGAGCTCAGTGTTTAATTACTAGGTGCTGCCAAGCAACACACCCTGCAAGGACAGCTCTCGGAATAGGGCGACCGTCTTGCGCCAGTCTTCCTGCCCAGAAGCCAAAATAGGGTGTAGTGTTCTGCTAACCTCGCCAGCTGGTTGAACTGCTGGCTAACTCCAGCGGCCCCATCTCAAAGTGCGCTTTGAAGTCCCCCTCCCTTGCCCGCAGGGCAGTATCGGATTTCCAGCGTGCCTGTGCCAGGCTGCTGAGCACCACATGGGCATGGATTGTGTTGCACTGCACCTCAGCAACGACAAGCCTGGCGTCTTTGAGGCGAAAGACGAGCCTGAGGCTAATGCTCCCAGCAGTGGCAGAGTTTGTAGATGGTGCACTGCAAGCTGCCACCGCCGCCTGACGGCGTGACCAAAGTGTGCAAGAAAACAGTCATCACTGCAATTGATGGTCGCGCGCGAACTCTGTTGTACTCACAGGCCCTGCCGCTGTCACAGGCTCTGTGACAGGCACTCTGGCTCAGTCACGTCTGGCTGCGACTAAGCTGCAACCAAGAGACAGCGATTTGCACAGGTGTAGCACAGATGTCTGACCTGAGTGTGGGGCTGCCGTCCGTTCGATCACTCAGCGCCGTACTGCGGCAAACAGTCGCTTGCTTGACACATGTCTGTATAATGCGTATGCACGGACAGACAGAGAAAGATGGAGACGGACAGACAGACCAGACCAGACCGGAGCAGATCGGCAGACAGATACAGGCAGCCACACTTAGAGTTCTTAGATTTCTGTCACATGATCTTACATGTTCTCCTTGATGTTCCTTAGTACGCTCTGCATTCCTGAAGCTAGATCGGGCGCCCAAGCCATGTTGCGACGTCCACGCCGCTCCTGTTGCAGGAACAGAGTCGCTCTTCAGCGACCCCATCAACTCAAGCGCCTTGGCCTTGTTGGTGCGACTAGGAGGCTTCTGCAGGAGCAAGAGCATTGCGCCCCCTGTGGTATAGACAGCCAGAGCATAGCGGTAAATCTCTAATCAGCCTCAAAATGGTACACAGACACAGCGGCCGCAGATGACTATCACGCCCCCCTTTATCAACTCCAGGTATTATCAAACTCCCGCCCCTCAACCCTCCCGATCCCCTCGTCCACCTCCTGCTGTCAACGTTTCGCCCGGGTGGTTTTTGCCAACTTCGTTGCGCTTGCAGACGATGTTGTATGCTGGACGGTTTACGGAAGCACTGAGAGACTTGGTTGCTCTTGTGGTATCTGCTGATGTTGCAGAAGTGCAGCAACAGCCCCAGATCTGATTACTAAAGCGATTTGCACATCTCAGCGCTGCGCCGACAGCGTCTTCAGGGATGCCAGCATCTGCTGCCAGGACAGAAAATGCATTCATGCGCATCGTGCCCGATGCGATCTGATCGAAGCTCACAGAACAGGTAGTTGACGAAGTGCAACGTATGCTGAGCGATTATAGGGGCATCAACCCACAACTGTTGCACTGGGCAAGGCGAGCTAGCGGATGGCTGGCCTCGTCCCTGGGTTGCGGCCTGAAGGGCCCTGCCACAAGACGCAAACATGACACAGGCAGCCGTACAGCAGCGAGAATGGAGAAGCACGCTGTCGTGCTCAGGTGAACTTGAGCACTTACTGACGGCCCCCCGCCTCAACCAGAGCATGGCAGATGCTGCAGCAGACACAACGATGTTGAAGCCTTGGCGTGGCAGCGCAGTGCTATGATTGTCAGCACTTTCGGATGTTGGACTCCGGTACATGCAACATCATGCAACATCCCGCAACAACGTGGAGAATATGTCAGGGCCGATGCCCTTGATCTCCCAGGAACGACTCAACTTCTTTGGACTTTTGGCATCCCCGTGCAAGGTGCTTCAAGGCTCTGGCTTGCCACCGCAGGCTCAATTCCAGCCTGACTTAACGAAAAGCCACGGCATCTCAGCAACTGCGGCTCTGCCGATGGCTGAACATCATAACACTGCAAGGTGCTGAAACAGAGTTGATTTGGCAAAAGCATAAACCAGCCCGAGCCTGCTCCATGTGTGCCAGCACTTTGGCCACCTGCCCCCATCGCCCGGCTCGTGCCCAGCGTGCCAAGGCATCATGGTGAGGCCGCCTTGTCAGATTTGAAATCAGATAATAAACATACCATCATTTCGGTAGAACTTAGATTCTAGATATCACGCACATACTGGGGTGGGCCGAAAGTCTGACCTGCTCGTTGCTTCGTCGACTACAGGCCCCCACTCCCCCCTAGAATCCTAACAAACAGGACCCACGGGGTTACTCCTCCGGAACATTAACGTAGTACAATTGTAAAACGGCGAATAAACTACTCCGTTGCCAGGCCACATAATTCGGGCTTCTCGGCACTCCGTTACTCCGCAAGACGTCTTAAGACAACAAAGGTCCAGTAGGTCACTACTTTTGTTCTCCCGATGTATTCCCATAAGCCCAACGAAAGATACTGTTCCCTCCCTGAATAGCTATTAGTAACAGCTAGTGCTTTGCTTTGAAACATTTCGAGAATGTCGGATCGGATCAATGTCGTTTGCTGAATATGTCCACCCTTTCGCGGATTCGAGGCTCCTCGCTGCGTCCCGGCCCAAACATCTACATCAGCCCAAGTGCCGACAGCTTGTGGCTTGTTCCGGCCCTTGGCGTTCTCAAGATATCTCAACAAGTACGTAAATGACATCTTCGGGATACGCTCCTGCCTGTCACGTAAGCTATATAAAGTACTGAGTTCTGCAGTACAATCAAAGATCACGAATGGCAGATCCAGGCTGCGATTCCCGCTACTAAATGTACCTGTAAAAACCGTGCCATATACTCCCAACAGCTGACCGAACTCAAACGAAACTTGGTTGTCATTGACAAGAGCCCGGCGAACCGTGCTCAAGCCTCGAAGCTCCCCGGCCTCGAGCACGGGCTATTCGTCGTCGAGCTTTTTGTCCTGCTGGGCGCAGCACGGAGATCTCTTGCGTCTTAGTCTCTGGGATTCGCAGGCTATGCGATGCTTATCCGTGTGAATCACAGACCTCCTCGGCAACTGCGCGCCCGGCGAGGGCATGGCACCACACTACCGTTCTTTGGGTGGCATTCAGGGCCGTTGCGTGGCCAGTCTGCTTGTGCATCTGGCGCCGGTCACAAGCCGAAACTTTTTGCGCAGGATGTTGCGGCGTGCAGCAGCTTTCAGGGAGATACGGCTTCTGATCTTGGCAGGTGCGATATCGATCTGACACCAGAAGCGACAGCTAAGGTCGGAGGTTCTGACCTCTGCCAAGGCCTCGAGAGCAGCGTTGCGCACACTGGCTGGCCAGTCCTGCGCGGTCTTGGCAAAGCCAAGAGAAATGGACCGAATGGACCCTAGGCCCCGCCGAGGAGCCCAAAGCGCAGCAAAGCCCCCCGCTCTCCTGCGAGCTGGAGACGAGCGCCTGCAGGGCACGCTCGTCACCTCCAGCCACAGCACAACCGCACAGCATCAAATAGACCATAGGCACTTGGGGCTGTCTTGAGGGGGAACCCACACTCTTGTTTTCCAAAACTTCTGCGAACTCACCCGTTGAAGGCTCTGCACAGCTAATTAAGCTGCTAATGCCGCAGCTAGCATTGGACTTGTGAGAAGCCTACGCACAGGATGTCGAGTAATATACACAGCTAGTGACAAAAGAATATGCGACCTGCCACGCCTGGAATCAGAAGCAGGGTAAACCTCCCTTCCGGTGCTGAACAGCTTTCATCACGGAGTAAAACTCCTCGAAATCAAGGTGGCCGCCCCCGTCCAGGTCATGATCGGCCAAGAGCTTCGGGATTTCAGCGGGACTGACCTTGATGCCATTGAACAGGAAGCAAGTAAACAGTTCACCCTGGTCGATGGAGCCGGTTCCGTCGCGGTCGAACAGCTTGAAGACGCGCGCCGCCTCGTTTCTCTGGTCGAACTCTTCAGTCGGATCGAAGTCATCGTCGACATCGTCTCCCTCATCATCCGTAACCTCCTCGTAATCGACATCATAATCGCCATCCTGCTGGTAGTTGTAGTTGTTACCGTCGTCAGGATCTGGCGTGAAGTCCACCTCTGTAAGGCCAACGATACAATACTGACCCAGGAAGTTGAAGTCCGAGTTACAGATGTAATCATATGGGACGTACCCATAGCCGCGATCGCCCCAGGAGGTGCCCCAGCTGTTGCGGATAATGAAGCATTCCTTTTGTTGGAAGACAAGCCCTTTTTGCACTCCCCCCCCCACCCCCCCCCCAGGTCACCCAGCTATCCCAGCTCGAGCAGTCCTGTCTGTCATTGTAGCCCACGATCAACATTGCGTGGAGCCCGTGCTCCGAAGACTGGGGGTCTGAAGGATCCGGAGTCTTGATGCCGCCGCCAGGGAGTGGCTTGAAAAACCTCAAGTGCCACGGTGAAACGAGTCTGCCAGCGTCAAGTCTCCACGGTTTGCTGAGGCCCATGCTGAGCAGTCAACTTCAGACCGAAAACAATGGGGTGCCCTGACACGCGGCGGGTATGTGCGGCTGCAGCGACAGCTCACAGCCGGCAGCTTGATGGGGGCCTGCCTTCGGCCAGACACTCTCTCATAGCATCAAGATCCACCGGGACTTGTTTGGACTCGGCCACCTTGAACTTGACCTCGAAGCTACTTGATACAGTTGGCTTGGCACAGTACCAGGACACCTACATCTTGCAGTGAAGTGCACGGATCCTGGCTTCCGCCATCAACCACATATGCGCTGGAGGTGATGGAAGCATTGATTGACAAGTCTGTGTCATGTGTCCTTTACTTTCGATTTCACCGATTGCGAGCAAGCTCAGCGCCGCACCCACCGGAATGCAGCTTCAGCTCTACAGAAGCTCAAGAAAATTACAAAAATCTACCCTAAAGCCGAAGACAAGTACGATCTACTACTTCTGAAATGCACTGTGCAAGGCACGAGCTGACAGTGCGGACGACTTGCATCGAAGGCTCTCTCGCTGCTGTCCACTGAGGCTTCGACGGCTTCGTCAAAGCAGGCTCGGGTGGGCTGGTCGTTCACCCGGTCTAGCTCAAAAGGCCAGTTCTTCTCAAGGCAGGCCCCTTTCCTCAGATTTGATCTTCCGGCCACCACCACGTTTGCGTCTGAGGTGCATACAACCCAAGTCGAAATGAGACGAGTTTCAGCTGCAGGGCACTGATGGCCCCTCCCAATGTCATGCCTTCGTCCTTGGGCTGGACCGATGTATCCTGCGCGGCACGGCGAACAGGAGTCACGGCACAGAGGCAGCCCAGAGTAGACAGCTGCAGCTCCCACCTCGTGGAATGACATCTGGTCCTTCTTGCGTCCCACGTAATAGATAAACATCCGTGAAATATCGGCCGTGGTATCTCCAGTTTGCATGGCATGTCGCTTGTTGATGTACCTGAATAGGTGACGGCGGCAAAAGCTGACGCTGCAGATCTAAAGCCCATGTCACATGCTGTGCTCGCGCCCCGAAATCTTGGACTTTGGAAAATGTCCGTGCGCACTCGTAGGCTCCCGCCACGGCATTTGCGCAGCAACTGTTGGTCTGAGACTGGTCCTCACAGCAGCTTCCGGTGACTTCAGTCTTTGGCGGAACCTGGGCACATGTCAACCTGACACAAGCGAGGGTCCTCCACATGCGTCATGTACTTGCGCAAATCAACCTTTTCTGGAGTCTCCTCGGATCGCTTCCGAGAGTAGGCTATCGCCCAGCCGAAGGAGCAATCACAAGAGGCGTGGAGACAAGCCTCACGGGACCCTCCGTTGTTATTACAGCTGGAGGGCAAGCATACAGCATGCAAGCCCTCGCACGTGTCCACATTGGTTCACGTCTGTGTTGTGTATTGATTAGCCTATCCTTGCCCTCAGTATAAGGTGCCGCCAGGCCTTCTGTTCGTATAACCCGACCTACACCCGCAATCCGCATTCAGCGTTCTCATAGCTCCTCCACTTGTAGAGAAAGCATAGCTTGAGACTCTGGGCCTGCTCCCGAAACACGCGAATCCCTACGGTTATAGCCAGTTATAGCCTGATATCCCGCTGCTTGAAGCTCAGCCTCGGCAACGCTCGCCTCATAGCTGGAGACCTTCTCAGGCTGCACTTGGTGAGGGACCATCCCGAACCTCAGATTTTGATTTGATTTGCCATGGGCACACCTGCGGATCCACACCACTGCGTATGCTTCCAAGGTGCGGAGCGAACTTCTTTCCATCAACAATGTACTTCTTACTGCCTTGGCGAGCTGCATCAAGCAGAAATGGGAGCATGCCTGCGACATCTTCCGGGCCAACCTGACAGATCTCGGTACTGAGTAGTAAAGGAAGACGCTCATTTGCATGAGCAGACCTTGCGAGTAATTCCTGCACCCAGCCTTGAAGGAGGGACCAGCACCCATCGTGGATATCTATGCGCAGTCTCTATGCGGGACCCCTGGCTCGACAAATCTGCTTCGAGAGTTCAAGAGCCAAGGTGGCGAAGGCCCTGAGACGGCGAAGTGTCATCGATGCAGAAGCGACCCTGACTGACTCTCCCTCTCTCCCTCTCTCCCCCCCAAGAAGGCTCGGCCTCTGCGAGCTGCCGGAGTCAGTGCCTGTGACAGGAGCTGTGAGTCGAGAAACCCGGAAGGCCACGGTGGCCACGGTGGCCACGTGGTCAAAGGCAAAGGCCTCGACAGCGGATCTCCGTGCCGCGATGCACTCAGCATCCACACGGCCTGGTCTTGACCGGGCGTATCAGGTCAATCAATTTTTGGGTTCTGCCCGCTTATCTAGGACATGGGCATTAAGAGGCACTCTGGTATCACCATCGAGAGAAAAACAAAACAATGCCAAAGCTGCCAATTGAAACTGCAGTGCCGGCCGCGGGTGGGGCACCCTTGTTCAAGGCATGCGCACGACCCCTCTGATTTCCGATTTCGAGTGGTCATGTCTCTTACAGGATCTGAAAAGCACCTTCCTAATTACAGCAGACAGTCTCGGTTCATCGGCTCGAGGGAGTTCCCCCCGGGCATCGTCCATGAGGTCCGGGCTGGTTGTGGCCACCTCTAGCAAGGCATCGACCACACCAAGGCCTCAGTGATCAATGCGCACAAGAAGAAGAGCATCTCAAAAGCTCTGAGATGCCACTACTGCAGCACGGCTGCCGTCCATGCAAGTGGCCGGCACACCTGCTCAGAACTGGCAGACCCGCTTCGCTGCAGGGAACTCGTTTGAGTAAACCGATACGTCCGATGAATGATGAATGCACGGAGCGGCACATGCCCGGCCTTTCACAGCTCCAGCAACGCCGAGTGGACCAGCACCGGGCGGGCGAGCTTCAGTGCCGTGACACTTTGACAAAGATGAGTTGCCACTTGGGCGACGAGGCACTACTGCAGCCCAAGAGTTGAGTGTGATTGCATCTTCTGTCCTAAGTATCATGAGCCAGTGTCAGCGACTTACATGTGAATGTTTAGGCAATGTAGGGAGCCTGACAAGAACAATGCCACAAAGCTTTCCGGGAGCGCTTCGCAAGCTTGATTCTCAGATCCACAGGTTGCACGCCGTGCCTAGCAGCCACTTGCTGCTTGACCTCCTCGGACCGAGTGTCCCTGCATCAGAGTTCGTCCAACACCCCTCACACTTGCGAGGACTGATAACGCTGCAAATGTCTTTCTTCGGCGGCCGCCCCCTATGCTTATAGCAGCTGGCAGCATGAATCCAAAATACACTAGACTCACTAGACAGGCGATCTTATAGGAAGCCGTCGCGAGAGCTGGCAGCGACGGCGATTCATCTTGCGTGCCCAACATAATTGGCGACAGGGACTCGGCACGAGTCACACAGCCTTTTGATGTTCTTCTGCTTCGAACGTGTCTTGGTTCTTCTCCTTGGCCACTCCTTAGCATGACGCTTTTTGCTGCTGCCTTCCTAAATGCTGAGCACATGGTGCATGAAAGCTTCAACCCTGATGTCGGCACAGGCCTGAACAAGACGCCTTGGGCTTCGATTCATCTGGAGGCCCACAGTTTTCTCCAATGGCGATTTTTTGAGATCGTGGTCTTTATTAAGAAGCAAGCATGGCCTGTAAAGGCAACTCAAGCATGCTGCCAGCGAGCCTGGCCTCGCGTTGCGCTTTCAAAGCTGGTTTGACACACGTGCGATGATCTAAACGGTGGTGGGTAAAGTAGTGCACCGTGCAAAACTCACAAACAAGTCGCCCTGCAGGCAGCATGCCGGGAGCAGTATTCAAAACTGAAACACGGGCACAGAACTTTGCACTCGCGAATGAAAGGGATGCGTTTTACACCAGCTACAGGGCACTCCAAAAGCAGTGTCCCATAGTTGCACGCGAAAAAAGTTGACATCAAGCTCAAGAAGGTAATGTCGCGACCTAGAAAACCAGCTCCCGAACTTCCGTGGTGTGCTTCGGGGCAGCCGCCGGAATTGAATTCTCGACTTGTCATCCACCTGCGTGCTCTGGTGGCCCACATTGCGACTGCCCCGGTGCTCACCGGTTGCTTCGAGACTTCTGTTGGATCGGCGACCTCTCTTCTCGGTGGCCTGTGGGTAAAGTACGTGGTCTGACACTAGCTCTTGCCAGACACTGTCTCAACATCTGGATCAAAAGGCTCCTCAGCTTCGCGGGCAACTGTACAAAGCTCCACGTCGCAGCATCCGTATGCGCACGCCAGGCAAGCCAGCATTACATGCCAGAGGTACAGCGGGTCATATTGCACCGACTGGCAGAAAAGGCGTGAGCATCTCCCACAGGAAACTGCTAGGGAATGCCTAGCTGTTAGGGATTGCAGCACCTTCCGTGCTCCAGTTCACCAAATCAAAACCGACAAAGCACAATCCAGCAAAATTTGGTCCCGAGGTTCGGGCGTCGTGAGGATTAGAGTTAGAACAGTTCAGGTAGAATGCACTTCTGAAGACGGTATCCGGGAAAATGGACATCCGAACACCGGAACCTAGGCGATGAACAGCAGATCTCCCATGCGATACTGTCGCGGCTGCTGTACCGGGTATGTAAACGTCAGAGGTTGCTCATAGTACATGTCGCCTAGGCAAGTTCCTACACAGCAAGTGAGCACGTGTCCTATCCTCTCCGTTCCGTTCCGTCGCTAGCAATGCACCGGACGTAGACATCTACCCGGCTCAGAAAGCCATGAAGAAGGAGAAATCCGTGCCTGAAAAAGGAGCACCTTCCTCCTGAAGATCGCAATCTAAGCTGCACATATCACAGAATCTAGGTTTGAGCAATGCCCAGAGAATACGAAGCAGTACTTCAACTACAATATACAGCCGCATGACGCTGTGGCAATCAGCTAAGTCACACATTCCTGGGACGGAGGCATTTGCGCTGCTGGCCCGCCAGCACCCCGCCGGCGGCACCAGAAGATCTCTGGAAGGTGCATCCTTGCCATGGAGAGGTCGGACGTGCTTACCATGTTTCGTGCAGGATTGGGATTTCGTTGAGAGTTGTTCATGTCACTAAGACCTAACTTCCGACGGGCAACCCTTACAGACTCTGCAGCACGACTGCGCTTCGCACTTCAGATCGGCTTGCCAACCCGTAGAACATGAATTGAAAGCATGTCCCCTCCCCCGGGTGCCTTCTGGGCGTCTGTGCGGCTCGGCATCCCGAAGATCGGACACTCAGGTTAGAAAAAATTGTCCAATTGTTGGTACTGTAGCAACGGGGAAGCGACACCTGTGAGCTGACTCGCAGTCCGATGATCTGGGATGCAGAAGCGTCCACTCTCTGAAAGCAAGAGCTTCCACACGACGTCTCAATGACAGATGCATCTTCTTCGCAAAGATCTCACGACCTTCACCAGATTGAACAGGGCCACCTGTGATTTCGTTAATGTCGACTGGGGCACTCCTCGGAAGCGAGACCGTGGCATGGAGGCACTTGCGAAACTACAGAGGATGATGCATAGCGCTGCATGTCGTCGCAAAAAAGAAGCAGAGCCCACTGTGCTGCAGGGCATCATGCGCAACAGGGACAATTGGCAAAGCTGTGCCGCGGCGGCTTATTGTACAGGCTGAGAAGACAGTCTACGGGCAGCTCTTTGTGCTGGCTTGCACAAGGCTTATGCCAAGCATCCCTGTTGCAAGCATGGCAGATGCGGCTTCAGTCTACCTTCGCCAGCTTCGAGACCGAACAGGATTGAAAATCCTGCTCCTAATTCGGTGACATGGTGCAGCAAGTATTCTGAAGCCGCCAACTGCACACTGTTGCCTGTGCAACACGGGCCCCAAGAGCTGACCAAGATCTGCAGATGCTTGCAAGATGACTACACGAGCAGTGATTTCAACTGTCGAACACATCTGAAGCGCCTGTAGGAACAGCCTGGAGTGCCCAGGGCCCAGTATGCGTGGCAACAGCTGCTTCTTGGCATTTTTAATTTTGGAAGATTTTTTGGCAGGCGTTCTCTCGCTCTGTCTTTTTCTTTGGTTTTGGATGGCAAGTCACTTGCCAAGCTTTTTAACCTCAGTCTCTTTCTGCTTTTTTGCATTTTCTGTCACAAGGTTTGAGATCTCGTCTCGTCGTCAGTGGTGCAAGCCCACCTGCCAGAAAAAAGTTAGGACGTTCCAAGATCGGACGCCTACTTCCACCAGACGCATGCAGACTTCTACCTCTTGGTAGATATGAAGAGAATGAGGAGTGTGACATATGATCAGGCTCAGCCTTGAGCTTCGAACAGGTGCTCAAGAGTCTTTCGCCACATGCCGGCCTGTGAAAGCAGGGCCTGCATCTTCTGCCATCTCTCCAGGCCTCACCAGTGGAAACTTGCAGCAACGTCTCTGACTACCTTGCCCCTTCTCTCGATCTTGGCTAATGCACGCTAATGCCAAGCAGTGCATCTGCTGAACCGACCCCGCCACACCCTCACCCTCATGGATTCTCAGACCCGGCTGCCTTCTGGATCCACCTTCCACCGGTTTCGCTCTCTGCGCAAGTGCTTGCCACGGCATTGCCCTCCACATGACACAGGGATGACTTCGCGACTGGGTACATTCCATGGTCACATCATGTCTGCTTTGCAAAGCTCACCAAGTGCTGCAGCACACAGGTCGTGAAGGTGTAGTACCGTCATTTTCTGCAAGGGCGGCCATATCAAGACTATGGGCACGAACTTTCCCTCGCACCGTGGTTGTGTAAACGGCACTGCTAATTACCTGCAACAAGACCACCACCGCCACACAGATCTCACGAACACGTGCGGCACCCACTGGGTAAAGGCAGGGGCGCAAGGGTGTGGCGGCACGATCCTGCGGAATCCCTCACCGCGCTACACTGATCTGGCATTGCTGGTTTGCACGCATGAAGTGCCGCACTCCATGTCAGTGCTACTGAATCAACCGGTCAAGTTCGCCGGTCAAGCCCCAAGTGTCAAGGATGGCCGAAGCAACAGCTAGGCACGTTCGCTTTAGCAGTCAGGCCTCGGGTGAACACGGGTTGCAAGGCCGCCAAGCAAACAAAGTCACAAGCATAGTACCTTGGCTGCTGTGGCCGACTCCACACTGCTGCAGTGTACACCGACACCCCTGAAGACAGCAGAAGGACTGCAGTTGCATAGCAAGCGGCCAATGCTCTTTGACCGTCGGCTCCCAGGGGGTCAAGAGACCATCGCTTTCCCGGACCTGCCGGCAGACGGTCTTTTTTTGTCTTTGTTCTCCACGGCCAGTCGTGGGCTTCGTTCCTTCCATACTGAAGTGGTTCGAGTCAGATTCATATCTGGAGTCCGGCCTCGCAAAGCTGCACGGCGAAAGAGCTGACGCCATCCCGCCGATGCAAGAACGGCGCCGTCCAGCCATGCTTGGGGACTACCTGCTTGGAATCACACTGCGAGGGAAATCAGGCACAAGACGAAGCAAGCTCTATCAAAGCACCTGAGTCAAGAAACATCTTACAAGCCTCATGGCTTGAAGCCAGGATTTCAGCAGCGACATGTCTGTGACTCTGCCTTCTGCAGAATGCCGACTGCCAGCTCGCCATCACGGAGAACAATTACCTGAACTCGTCCAGGTTTCAGGTCGGGCCAAACTGTTCCCAGTTCCATGCATCACTGAAGCTCACAGAAGCCAAAGTTCAAACGGCTAGATCTCTGCATTCAGCCAGCTGAGAGAACATGCAGAGTTGTCCCTACAATTCATCTCACGAGCGCGCAGCGTTATTGCTTTCATTTCACCTCCCAGTACAGTGTGAGTTGCACGAACCTCAGGACCAAGCTGCGGAAACTGGCTGAGAAGGAGCAGCGGCTGGCATTGTGTTGCATGGTGTGGCTGTCTCCATGAAAAGCTCCTTCGAGAAGGAGCAGTGCAGATCCCCGCCCGCATCCGCCCGCCCTCATGAAGGCCCTTATGGCTGCCGCTTCCGAGGCACGCCTCCAGCGCCTCGGCCCCGAGCTCGCGGGAAGAAGAGCGCTCCTCTTCGCAGCAGGAAGCCTCAAAGCTTGAAGATGCAAAAAGGAACGGCCTCTCACAAAGAGCTTCCCTTCGCTGCTTCACTTCGCTTCACTTCGCTTCTCTCAGAAAGATTATAGGTCAGGTGGCGAGGGCTGTTGCGGAGAGGCGCTGGGCGCGCTGCAGCTCGTAAGCCTGCAGCAGGCCTGCCGGCAGACCACCCAATTTCCGCTAGGTGCACTTTCTAAAGACCACGAGTCTGAGCTTAGTGCGTGTTGCTGCCGGCAGCTGTGGGGCCTTGCGGGAGGCAAATTTTGTCTGCCGCTCTGTCCAATAAATCTTCCGAGCTCCTGGCCAGCTCGCTGGGCACAACCCCGAAAGCCACGGATGTCTCACAGGTTGTTGTTGGGTCCAGGACGGAAAGGCCCCCTTGGCTGCGGTTGGCGGCAAGCTTCCACGTACCCCAAAGAAGACCGGACAAATAGATTTGTCCCGTGCTTCGAGCCAAGATTCCGTAAGTCTCATCTGATGCACATTGAAATGTATCCTGCCAGCTAATAGGCCGGAATTGAAGAGATGCTAAAGTCGCATGCTCGCTGCTAGCTGCGCTGGACAACCCTGGCCCATCCTCGTAGGCTGGGATCGGCTCAAATGCTGTGCTCATGCCATCCTGAGGAAAAACGCCATGCCACTGTTCCCATGTCGTCTTCGTGTCTTGGAAAGGTAGAATGACTAGGTGCGAGCACCTGCCCTCATCCCCATCCCACCATCATGCGGCAGCCCTAGGAAGCTGCAACTTCGCTCTCAATCCCAGCAGCAGGCCCCATGCAGAAGGACAACGTCCCCGAGCTGGCGCCGGGGGTGGCAAAGCGATCAAAGAAGGCGGCGAGCGCGCTCAGAAGTGTGCGTCCACACCGTTCCTGGAGATGTCTTGCAGCACCACGAATTCACAGCATGGAGCCCTTGGGCGGCCGTGTCCTGCTTGGAGTCTCCATTCACAAACAAGGTACACCGAAGTACCTCGACAGCAAGCAACTCGCGACGTGCTGAAGCTACGCCGCAGGACGTTATCGTCTGATAGCATCGTTTGAAGACAGTGCCGGGCAGCATGAAGCACCATCAGTGTCCAAACCACTGTGGGATAACCGCCTTCCTTCCAAGCAGCACGCAGTGTCACGGGTCACAGATCAAGCTCAATCACCAGCGGGATGCCTTTGGTACGGGGATGTTTCGGCGACGCAACCACCATTTGATGCATCGCAGCGCCGTTGCCTCAAAGGGAACACCAAACGGATCAAAGCCAAAAGAGGTGCACTCGGCCAGACCTCCAGGCCGCTGCTCCAGCCGTCGAGCTCGCCGTCCTAGCGAAGCGGCGAAGCGGTACCCGGTAGAGGGGAGCTGCGAGCTCAATCTTGCAAGTGCCCCCCCCAGGCGCAGAGAAGGCGGTGTGGCCTGAAGAGGAGGCGGAAGCTTCTTGACGGAAGCATCCGATGCGCAGGGGTCCCACTGCCACAGGCTCTTGAACCACAGCCTTGTCCAGAAGAATGTGCTGCGAGGTGCTAGCAGCTAGCAGATCTCAACCGTTCCAGCCGATCGAAAGCTCGAAGCACTGCAAGGATGCATGCCAAGCCGCACATGCCATTCGCCAAGTGGTTGATCGACGGTAAGATCCTTTGAAGTAGCTGCTGAAAACAGGGGTCTGCGAAGGGTCTGGAGATGGCCCGGTCAAAATTAGAAGATTTTAACAGCTCTTGGCACAAGTCCGAGCGAGAGTTCCTCGAGCTTTTGCGGCTTGGAATTGCGAAGGGTAGGTGACGGTGACGCTTTCAACCAAAGATGTGGCGGCTCACAAGCAACACAACGGACATTTTGTCCTACCTTCGGTGCGCGTACATGTGCAGGTAGGCATGGCTAGAAGATCCCTTTGCATTGAATCCGACATTCGCCTGTTCGGCATACCCCGATCCGATATAACTCTCTCAGCTTGCCATTCTCTGCAATGCGTTGTGGTTTGCACCATCAGAAGCGACGAGGCCCTGAACGATAACAGCCAGACGAGGAGACCAAACTCTCTGCAAGAAAGTCTGAAGCGCTTGCTTCCTGTGTGCGTCGGCCCTCTTGCTCTGGTGAAGGGAAAGGGGCACCAATAGCCGGGCATCCACCCCCCTCGGCCTGCAATTCTGCACCTCTGCATTACCAACTCAACAGCCGGGTGATGTCGGAGCCCACTGCAAGTGCGTTCCTTGAGCGTAGCTCCGCTTGGAAGCGCTCACACAGAGGTGCAGATCGCCACCTTCTCTCTGAACCGTCACATTGACGAAAAGAACATGTTTTGGGTTGTGGTTGTTTGCCAGCTCGCTTAGTAGTAAGACCCACCCACTACTTGCGACGCGCTTTGGGGACGAACTTGCTTGCAAGCATCCAGGGAGAGGCGCCCATCTGCAGACCTCGTCTTCCAGAGGTTGGCAGCCGTTAAACAAGCACTGCTTAAGTATGCTGCACAGGGTGTCTGTACACGGCTCAGGCTGCAGCAGCACTGTGAGGACAGGCACTCGAGCACAGTCCACGAGCTGCAGTTTCAGAGCCTTGGCTGGCGCGGGAGAGCCCAGCTCGTCGAGAAGGCACGGCCGCTTTGCCAAGTTGCTGGGTCTTCCATCCCTAGGGCCGCCGTCACCCGATAAAGGGCTTCGATGGGGTCCGGTGCTGGAACCTCCGTGCCATCTTCATAGTAGCTGCTGCCTTGGATGGGCCAAAATGGTCAAAGGGACCGGAAACGGTGCTGTCACGTAGGCAGCTTTCGCATCTCCCTGCGGTGGTGCTGGTTGCCTTGGGCACTGTCGCTGCAGTACTGTTTTCACTGCCACCGAACCATCCAGCGTGTGCCCTACACCATCGAATCCGCTTGCCGCCCTCACTTCTTGCCCTTCTTCTTGCCACCTTCCTTTTCTTTTGCCTGGGACAGCTTCTCTGCAAGGACCTGTCGGCAGGTGCATGCATGCACAGGATCCTTGTCGTAGCTTGGCGCCCTCACCTGCTTCACGCACTTCTGCTCCTCAATGAGGAAGGCTCGCACGATGCGTTCGCGGACACAGTGCCTGGCATACACTGGAATGGAGTCATTCATGCACGATGCCTCCTGCAAACATGCACTGCGCATCCCTCGCACTGCTACTCTGCGGCATAATTTAATTTGAATCCAAGAATCGCGCAGCGGGATCCCCCATAAGCTCTGTTGACGTGCTTCTCACGCTTCTTCAAGCGGGAGTACCTCGGTGCGACGTGGCAGCAAAAGGGAGACCGCGACAGCGCATGATTACAGCTCGGTTCGCACAGCTCGTTCCGTGCCGGGCGACTCGATGGGGCGCAAACGTGGGAGGCCGATCAATGCCTTGCCACCTGCAGTCTTGTGTTTGCCATCGTATTCTGCGGAACGTCTGGCAAGCAGCCCAGGCATGATCCCGTCTGAGCTCAGCTAGCACAATTCCGTCAGACGAGTGGCAGTCACCGCAGTGCGGGCCCTTGGCTGCCTTCCTCAGCTTGCAGAGCACCACAGCTGCAGCTCCTGAATACGTGATGTGGTCCGTACCCTACAAAATGAACGGCGCATCCTGTCCGCACAACAACCGGGGGTAAACAGCGATGGCTGCAGCTACGCAAGCCCCAAAAGGAAAGACCTTGCTGGCCAAGCTTCTTGACGGCCTGGTACACAGCTCGACCACCTGGCGTCTTCACGACTCGCCTGGGGCCCAGATGCACCCTACATCCTTAACTCGGCTCCCGATTCCAAGTTGCATCCTTCAACTTTATATTGACGGTCCGGCTAGTGAGTCACAGCTGGGTGTCCAGCTGCTTGTTCGACTTCGTGTTGTAGCCTTGGCAAACAAAGCCAAGCAATGCAAGAAGGACCGATGCAAGAAGCTCGTCTCGTCGTCTCGTCGGGCCAGGCCACGGCACTGACGGCGGTAGGTCAGGCGAAAAGCCATGGCGGGGCTGATACGATGTTACGGAGCCAGTCTTTGTGTCCGAGCCAAAGCTTTCAGCTGCAGCAGGCGGTTCTGTTCCTCTGCCTCTACTGACTCTACTTGACTCTACTGCGCTGCACCAGGGGCTAAAGATCAGATCTCTTGATCAAGCTCGCTTTCTGCCAACCAGATGCATGTATAGACCACGACGTCCAGATCCGAATCGGGGGTGTCAATTCGTAGCGCTGTGCTGCCAATTAGCGCCAGCCTGACAGGTTGCAGACCAATGACTATGTGTAGAAGTTTTGTCACGCACACAGGCACACACACACACACACACACACACACCCACACACCTACCTAGCAGAGCTGTAGTCGTAGTAGTAGTAGTAGTAGTAGTAGTAGTAGTAGTAGTAGTAGTAGTAGTAGTAGTAATAGTAATAGTAATAGTAATAGTAGTAGTAGTAGTAGTAGTAGTAGTAGTAGTAGTAGTAGTAGTAGTAGTTTTGGGTAGTAGTAGTTTTGGGTAGTAGTAGTAGTAGCAGCAGCAGCAGCAGTAGCAGTAGCAGCCGTAGCAGCCGTAGCAGCAGTAGCAGTCGTAGCAGTCGTAGCAGTCGTAGCAGTCGTAGCAGTAGAAGTAGTAGTGTAGCATTAGCAGTAGCAGTCGCGGTAGCACAGGAGCAGGAGCAGAGAAGCAGCAGCAGCAGTAGCAGTAGCAGTAGCCGTAGCCGTGGCGGCAGCGGTAGCAGTAGCGGTAGCAGTAGCAGCTGCAGCAGCAGTAGTGGCAGAAGCCGTAGCCGTAGCCACAGCGGCAGCGGCAGCGGTAGCAGTAGCAGTAGCAGTAGCAGTGGCAGTGGCAGTGGCAGTGGCAGTTCAGCAGCAGTAGCAGAAGCAGAAGCAGAAGCAGCAGCAGTAGCAGTAGCAGCAGCAGCAGTAGGAGCAGTAGCAGTAGCAGTAGCAGCAGCAGCAGCAGCAGCAGCAAGTGGCAGGAGTGGGACGAGCACTACAAACCGTCTGCCAAGCACGGAAGGTCACTCTTCCACCTTCGCTTCGCAGGAGAAAGCTTGCTCATGCTTGCTTCATCTGCAGCTTGTGCTGTCGCTGCTTCAGCAGCACGAGGCGTGCTCGAATCGTCAACAGTGCTTCCTGTGTTCATTCGAATCCTTGGAGCCTTCCTCTGAAAGGAGAAAATGTCGTGGAGACTCTAAGTGGGTTTAGCTTTCGTGTTCGCGTTCCGGCTGTGAAGAAGGCAGTTCTTGCGCCGAGACAGACATTATGAGTTCCTGAAAGGCCTGTTACCGTTACCCGGGGCACAGGACCGGCCACGGAATTCGCATTCCATAGACGCAAACAGGTGGAGTCAGAGTGCGGCAAGCAAAGCGCGTCACCGAGAAGCGAGTACAGGCTCCAAGGTGCATTCAGAACCCCTAACAGGTTACCCTGCGAAAATCAACCAGGACAAGAAGTGCTAAGCCACTACAGGGTAAAGCATGTCTACGCTTCGCTAAGCCTCTGGAAATGGCTCCCCAGCGCTGTCTGGGCAGCCCCTGAGACAGCAAGCACTTGCACCGCACTAAAATGTTGGCTGGCTTTTGGGCGAGTTGTTCCTCGAGGCAGTATGCTGGAGACTTGCCCATCAATTGAGCACCAACGTCCCTGATTGATGGCAACCAGGCTGCTGTGCACCACGTCATACAGCTTTTCTCTGGCAGGGTAGCGTGCGACGGCCGCACTTCGAATGAAGTCCACGACACCTCTGAAGTTCATTGGGCTGAGCTGTTCTAGACCAACTCAACGATCTGGCACTGGCACGCTACCGACGTGTCATGCAAGTCGCCGCACATTGATCCGGCCTGCAATGCTCGACTCTGCGGAGCGGGCTCGGGGCAGTGGGCCTGGGCTGCCTGCACGGGTCAAGCCTCTTGGCTGCATGGTGCTATGACGATTGTGACAACATGTGACAACATGTGACAACTATGACAGCTTCGGTGCCTCCGGAATCGCTGCAAGTGGTCGACGTCTCTTCCTTCCAGAGTTCGCACGTGAGGGTTGTTCTATATCCTTGTTCCACGCATGCCAATTAGGATCCCTTGCGCTTCGCCCTTGCGCATTCCTTGGGCGTGCTTGCGCGCGCGAGGGTTTCTTAACACTGTATAGATTTGTGGCATCAGATTTGTTACTATGGCTTGTTGACGCTTGGTTGCTTCGAGTCGAAGCTTCGGCTGCGGGTACAACAATCGGGCTTCAAGGCTCAAGAAGTTGTGCTGGGTCCTACATGGTTTTGGGCAGCGACCTTGCGCGCCGTCTTGCGCGCGCTTGCGCCGATCTTGCGCGGAGGATGCCGTGTCAGAACCTAATTTTCAACAGTTCGCGACTCTGCTACCGCGGCTTGCAGAATATAAGAATGAGAGTGCTTACTCCAGAAGCGGAACGTCCTGGGTTTGGGTTTGGGGTTTTGTTTAAGGACTATAGAGTTTAGGGCTTAGGGTTTACGGGGGGTTTAGGGTTTAGGGTGTAGGCCGGGTTACATACAACGCTGCTAAGTATCACTCTTGAACCAACCTTAACAACAAGCCTTGCGCATAGCTTGTGCTCGCCCTTGCGTGCGATCGAAAGGGTGTGCACTTTTTCAGCGACCGAGTTTTCGCTAATCGCCCTCCTAGTATTGTCACAAGAGCCCCCCAAAAAGAACAACGCTCACGTCCTAGAGTCCTAGACTCCTAGACCTGAGCCTGGAAGCTGCCATGGGCCTTCTCGTCCGGGCAGGAAATGCCGGGATAAAAGACATCGTAGACAGCTCCGTCAGGGCCGATCAAGGTCTCATCACCTTTCCTGGCCAGGCTGGACGTAACGCTTCTTCAGTGGCTTCTAATAAACGACGCTGAAAGAGACCAGTCGCGCACCTAGGACCTGCATGTCATCTGCAGCCCACACCTCCGACTGCCTCCGACTCTTGACTCGCATAAAAGACAAGAATCGGGCTCTGCTCCCAGGCTTCAAGCTTCTCACCTCGCAGCACATCTCTGCTCGGCTTCACAGCATGAACGGAGCATCATCTTGCACCTGCCCAAGACCACCCATCCGCCTGGGACCTGACGACACGGCGCAGGGTGCCGAGCACTGACACATCACACACAGTGCGAAAAATTCAGCGGAGCAGCGTCGCCGCTTGCCGGCTCGCCTGCACAGCCTGCGGTTGGCACAGTCTAAGGACACAGGATCGACTGGGTGCAGTGTTCGAGAAGTCTCAGCGTGTCCACTCTGCCGAACGTTCTGGAGCCCGCCCACCTGAAGTTGACCCAGCAACAGGCCAATAACTTTCCGTCCGTGGCATGACTCACCTTGGTCAGCACCATTCGTCGAGGCTGTCTGCCAAACTCAGGAATAGAGATGCTAGGCGTGGGGCAGTCTTCCAGCGCACAACTGCACTCAGGGCTTGCCTAGCGGCAGAAGACCAGGCCAGGGTCTTTGCATACTAGACTGCAAGTCAGATGCCCAAAAACCCAACCTGCGGCACGAGGATCTGCATGTCGAGCCGAGATATGTCGCCGAGTCAGAAAGCCAGGGGCGCTGAGAAATGATGGGCTTAGAACTCACAGGACGAAGCCTCGTCTCCAAATGCTGTCTACTGAGTCCTATAATTTCCTCAACGTTGCAGGTGAGGCTGTCGAGAAGGCGAGATGACACAGGATGTTGTCGAGAAGGCGAGATGACACAGGATGTTGCAGGCTGGCTGAGAGTTGTTTCGATCCTAACGCCATCGCTATGGACAACGGTGTCGTAGCGGTGTCAGAATCGAGGCTTCGTCCGTGAGTTCTTTCGAACGCTGCGTTTCTTCCGGGTTTGGTCCAAAATGACTCCGCAAGTTCGCGTCCACTCGCTGAGCAGTGCAGGGGGCTGGCGGCTGTCGCGACCACACACTACAAGGGCCAGTGCCAAAAGTGATGCCACATGTCACCCACCCCCGCCCGCTATCTTGAAAGGTTGGCTATGGCTATGACCTATTAGAAAGATCAGCAACCCTCATGCTGGCCAACATGGACGAAGTACAGCGACGGAAACATACCTTCTGAGACTCTCCACAAGCGGCAACTCCAGCATCAACTTTGGACACGGTCAGGTCTTGTGGACAGTGCCGCAGAAGGCTTAGTCACTTGCAGCGACGCTTGTCCTGGGCGAAAGCAGGACATCGACAACATCCAACAGTCTGCCGAAGACGCGTGAAACGTGCCCCACTCTGCTGGACTCCCAATGGCCCATATGTCGAGCTATCTGCTTGCGTCTGTGGCTCGCAGCCTGCAAGAAGCGCTGTCGCAGAGATTCGATGTATCTCGCCTGCCGGGATCTTTCACCTTGACGAATCCTCCGTATTTTCACTGCCCAGAGATGTCACTCCTCCTCGGAAGGCCCGCCACAGCGGTGCGAAATCGGCACCTCCTGTGCAAGATACATTGCCGAAGCTTGAGCTGACAAGCAAAGCCACTGAGCTATCATGGAATCATCGTCTAGCCATGCAGCAGCTTCAAGCTGCCGACTGGCGCCTTGAAGATTTGCAAGGTCCACTTCCTTGCAGATATCAGGCCACTTCGCGACTGTCATGGACAGCTTTGGCTTTTGCTGGACGTGGCTTCTGCATGCGAGATGCCCCATGCGGCCCGTAACGGCAGCGCCGCCGTGCCAGGAAGCTGGGTCCGGTCCGAAGTTCTCGCCGCTCTCGCCTCCCTTCGCCCGCAGCGTGAAGAAGCCTTCGCTGTTCTTTCAGCCCCCACCACTGCACAGGCAGGTGTGCAGACACGTATACACACATACTGAAGTCTCAAGTCTGCCCTATACTTTCATTGCCTCAAGTCCCTACCGCTGCCGAGGAACAAAGCGCGGCTCCTCGTGTCGGCACGACCCTGAATCGTCCACGGCTTGGGTGAGCTTTTCGAACGATGGAAACAAGGCTCAAGATCTCACACTGGTAGCTTCAAAGCTGCCACTGCGTGTGCTTGCCCACGAACTGCATCCATGTTCCAAAACGGACCCTAGCTCCAAAAACAAGGTATCCTGCCTCAGGCCGGCCAGCGACCCGTTCGCTCGTCGCACAAGCTCTGCAGCCTCGTGTCTCGAGGCTCCACTGCATGAGTCGTCTCGAAAGCAGGCGCCTGTTCGCCGAGCGCTTCCGCCGCAGCAGAATGGCTAGTGTGCGTGTGCCCAGCACCTGCGACGAGGCTGTTGTACGTACTTGTAATTCAGAATCTGCTTGGCGCTTTTTGGACGGACATTCCGCCACCGCTTTCACTAACACGAGCAAGCAGGTAACATATCTGAGATTGTAGCTTTTCCTCCGTCCATCCCGTTTAATGAGGCTCTGGCCTGCAAGCACTTCCCCTACAGCCCGGCAGCGTGCTTCCTCGTGGGTCAGAGAGCTACACTAAGGGGGCGAGCCGGGGTTGAAAGGCTCAATCAACAAAATTACGGACAAAACGATGGATGCATGAGATGACAGCTAACGTAGAATCGGGTCCTCCTCCGCAGGCATGTTCGGTGTTTCCGCACATGGGAAGACCGTCCGTCCACCACTATCCACCTTGCACCGCATGCTAGGGCCCCATCTCTGCAAGCATTCGGAAGTCGTGTTCAGCCACAACATCCCGCACACAAGCCTCGTTCAAATAGAGGATGACAGAGCAAACACAATGAGGAAAGCCGCCGTTGACATCCAGATGCAAGCCGATGCTCAGATCGTCTCAGCGATCAAACGGGCGCTGAAGCTGGACCACCGTCGCGAGGGAAGACAAAGCCCCCGAGCCCGGGCCTGGCACATGGCCAGCCTGGCCAGCAGCCGGCTGATCGAACTTCAGAAAAGGATTGATCTCCTCGGGGCACAGGGATGACTACTTTTCCACACTCCCCTTCCACAAGGGACAAGCCGAAAGGCTTGCCCATGGATGGGGATGCCGGTCAGGGTTGCAACCTGGCCAGACAGTCTGAGCAGCTTCACTATCTGTCCCCCGTGATGCAAGTGTGGGCCCGAGGGCTGTACTATCGATGGGGTGCTGTTTGGCTTCGCTTCGTGGAACAACGCTACATGCCTCTCGAGCGCTGGAAGCTTCTCGCTTTGTCCGTCAGGTTACACGCTGTTGCATCTCCAGCATCAAGTCTTTGTCCACACCAGAGAGACGACTTACCTGGCAGGCAGACAGGCACAGGAATGCACTCAGAATTGTCAGAATGGACGAAACACGAAACTGTGACAGCTTGACGCGCTGGCGGCGCCGTGACAGCGACCAGTGGGCCGAGATAATTATGATCACTGTGTTTCTATGTCGATCCCATGGATCACCAGCAAGACATGAAATGCTGTCATTCAAGCCTAAAGACCGTATGCTCCTGCTACCGTCCTCTGGCATCAAACCAGGGAACCGCTTCCGTGGGAACCCTCGAAACCACAGTCAGCGTGACACCTCCAGAGAGGCAGTGGCGACGCCACGGAGCACTTCCGTGGAGGCCTCTCCCGTGCGCTGCATCTCCTCTCGTCTGCCGACCGAACGGAAGCGATGCATTAGACAACTAGCCAGCTTTAACTCTTCCCGCCCTGAGTCCCTCTGAAGTCACCAGAAACTCCTGCGCGTCTTCGTTGTGACGCCTCGGGACGCGAATGATGAGATGTGGAGACTTCTTGCTTTCTCTGAGGTCTTGACCTGCAGGTCCGAAAGCCCAACTCAATTAGTTTGGCGCATTCCTGCTCGTGACACACTGCGGTGGTAGTCTTGCCAAAGAGCTATAGCGATGCCCGTGGCATGTTCTCGAATGCTTTAACATGCGTGCATTCAAATCATGAGCAAGATTCAAAGATGCAGCTGAAGACGTCGCAACCAGCTCGGGGAGTGGTTACCCCGTGTTTCAGAATGCACGAATCTTCTCCGAACCCTCTCATGGCTTTAACAACTGTAGCTTGGCAAAACAAGTGCAGCACATGCAGGACTCCCCTCGACAAACATCCTGATGTGGGCTCTATTAGGTAGTGAAGGCTAGTGGAGGGCGTGGTCGGATGCCTACAGTTTTGATGATGCAAAATGACTGCACATCGGGAGACAACTGCCCGTAACTGCCCATCGGAGCCCTCTCGCAAGCGGGGTCAGACGGTGCCAAAAGTCCTCTTGGATATACCACGCGGGCGTATGAGTATGTAAGACGTGTCCTCTGCACTGGCAAAGTCAGGAAGGAACGCCGCGAGGGGGGACTCGCCTCACAAGTGCACGATCAGACGATGCCTGTGCCTAGCTGGCGTGAAATGGCTTGAGTTTTGAGCTTCGGCATGTGGGTGCTAGGCTTAAGCCGTTCTAGTGTGGACTGCCGCAGATCACACCTCCGCGACCACGAAAGTCGACACGAAAAGGGTGCTTGTCCAGAGTGGCAGCCAAGGCTCTGCACAAGAAGGCCCCATTTCTCTGGTAACTCGGCAAGAGCATAGAGGCCTGAGCGGCTGCAGAAGCTTCGAGACGACCTCACGATGTGGCTTCTGCGAGCAGGCTTTATGGCTCTATCATGCTCTATCCACAAATCTTGCGGAACAGCCAGGTGTGCCTCAAGCAGCTTGACAGCTCCCTGCCTGGTGCACCATGCTACATCAGGCACATCCCCATTGAGCCCTTGAAGAATCCGGCCCGGGACGGCCTGGAGTGGCCGAAGCTGTCTTGGAAGGCTGGATGCAGCTTTGGCATTCGCGGACCAGACGCCTCGCTGCCACGGGCTATATAGGCATTTGCCAGTTTCCCTGCGTTTTCGCGATTTGAAGCTCTACACGCATGCTGGCCCATTGCGACCCAGACGCGCCGGAAATCCTGCTCCCATGTTCCCCAGCCTGCAGGCATGCAAGTGTTTGGCAGTAGCTGGACGCAGGTGACTTGATACACCTCATGCTTGCGTTCATCACGCCACTCGCACGTTGTACTTACATACGCTCCTAGGCGCAGCTGGGCAATGCGTGGTCATGACGGTCGGTTCACACCAACTATCGCCAAATTCTGTTGTAACATCGCGGTGCATGAGAACAGGCCTTCATCGGAGTAGAACAAGCTCTCAATGTCCTCTCGCCTTGGCTTGACCTTCGATGCAAGCAGGATAGAAGATCCCTCCATAGCAGACCACCGTCGGACCGTCGCCCGCTGCGCACCCGCTGCAGGCGCCTTCTCGGCCTCGACGAGGAGCTCCTCGAGCTGCATCTTCAGCTTTGCCTCCTTGTCCTCCAGACGTCCACGAAGCTTCGTGGCGGCCGGTGCAGCTGTGCAGCTGTGTGCTCTCCTGCGCCTGGCGACAGACCGCCTCCAGCCGCGCCTGTCCGAACCGGAACTGGTACTCAGGCGCATGCACTTGCCTGCTTGACTGGCCTGGTGCTGGCGGAGGCCCTCCAAGCTGCCGCGCATGGCGGCGAGGCGCCGGCGGGCTTCGGCCACGGCGGCATCGCTCAT